GATTTTACGGATATTTTACGAGTCTAGGGGGCTTTACGGGCCTTAAACGTCAATGCAACGGGGACCGTTTTGGGGAAAGTTTCTCGGCTGGTGGTGGGGCAACTGTGTGCCGATTTTGAACGAAATCGGGGGGGACCCCCCATTGACCCAAAATTTTGATTTTCCCGTACAAACTTTCCTATGGGGAAAAAGTGGAATTTTCCTGCAGGACTGTGTCTGGGTAAACGAGAGCTTTCGATTGATACCCATTTTTACCATAGCACCACTTTTTTGTCCGTACAAAGGCGATTTTACGGATATTTTACGAGTCTAGGGGGCTTTACGGGCCTTAAACGTCAATGCAACGGGGACCGTTTTGGGGAAAGTTTCTCGGCTGGTGGTGGGGCACCTGTGTGCCGATTTTGAACGAAATCGGGGGGAACCCCCATTGACCCAAAATTTTGATTTTCCCGTAAAAACTTTCCTATGGGGAAAAAGTGGAATTTTCCTGCAGGACTGTGTCTGGGTAAACGAGAGCTTTCGATTGATACCCATTTTTACCATAGCACCACTTTTTTGTCCGTACAAAGGCGATTTTACGGATATTTTACGAGTCTAGGGGGCTTTACGGGCCTTAAACGTCAATGCAACGGGGACCGTTTTGGGGAAAGTTTCTCGGCTGGTGGTGGGGCACCTGTGTGCCGATTTTGAACGAAATCGGGGGGGACCCCTCATTGACCCAAAATTTTGATTTTCCCGTACAAACTTTCCTATGGGGAAAAAGTGGAATTTTTCTGCAGGACTGTGTCTGGGTAAACGAGAGCTTTCGATTGATACCCATTTTTACCATAGCACCACTTTTTTGTCCGTACAAAGGCGATTTTACGGATATTTTACGAGTCTAGGGGGCTTTACGGGCCTTAAACGTCAATGCAACGGGGACCGTTTTGGGGAAAGTTTCTCGGCTGGTGGTGGGGCACCTGTGTGCCGATTTTGAACGAAATCGGGGGGGACCCCCCATTGACCCAAAATTTTGATTTTCCCGTACAAACTTTCCTATGGGGAAAAAGTGGAATTTTCCTGCAGGACTGTGTCTGGGTAAACGAGAGCTTTCGATTGATACCCATTTTTACCATAGCACCACTTTTTTGTCCGTACAAAGGCGATTTTACGGATATTTTACGAGTCTAGGGGGCTTTACGGACCTTAAACGTCAATGCAACGGGGACCGTTTTGGGGAAAGTTTCTCGGCTGGTGGTGGGGCACCTGTGTGCCGATTTTGAACGAAATCGGGGGGGACCCCCTATTGACCCAAAATTTTGATTTTCCCGTACAAACTTTCCTATGGGGAAAAAGTGAAATTTTCCTGCAGGACTGTGTCTGGGTAAACGAGAGCTTTCGAATGATACCCATTTTTACCATAGCACCACTTTTTTGTCCGTACAAAGGCGATTTTACGGATATTTTACGAGTCTAGGGGGCTTTACGGGCCTTAAACGTCAATGCAACGGGGACCGTTTTGGGGAAAGTTTCTCGGCTGGTGGTGGGGCACCTGTGTGCCGATTTTGAACGAAATCGGGGGGGACCCCCCATTGACCCAAAATTTTGATTTTCCCGTACAAACTTTCCTATGGGGAAAAAGTGGAATTTTCCTGCAGGACTGTGTCTGGGTAAACGAGAGCTTTCGATTGATACCCATTTTTACCATAGCACCACTTTTTTGTCCGTACAAAGGCGATTTTACGGATATTTTACGAGTCTAGGGGGCTTTACGGGCCTTAAACGTCAATGCAACGGGGACCGTTTTGGGGAAAGTTTCTCGGCTGGTGGTGGGGCACCTGTGTGCCGATTTTGAACGAAATCGGGGGGGACCCCCATTGACCCAAAATTTTGATTTTCCCGTAAAAACTTTCCTATGGGGAAAAAGTGAAATTTTCCTGCAGGACTGTGTCTGGGTAAACGAGAGCTTTCGATTGATACCCATTTTTACCTCTTTGTGACGTCATTTCTAGGGGAAAACGGGTCATAAAGGTTTCCCTCTACCGGGGCCTTTTTTCCCCCTACCGAATCTGTGCTGTGCTGAATCTGTGCTGAATCTGTGCCAACTTCCGTTACATCGTGCCTTCAGCATTACGAAAAATGGCAACAGCCCGTGAGCAGCATCAGCGCTCACGCACATGTTCAAGGAAAACAACGTGTAATTAGCTGCTGACGACGGCCCTCTCCACCAATCAGCGCTCGGTAACTCGAGCGCTGATTGGCTGGTAGCAAATGCGTCATATGTGGGTCTCATTTTTTTGCTATCAGTGAACGCGTTATTTAATACACAGTGGCCTATGGAGAATGGCACGCGGAATTGAAGGTCAGTGTTTTATTGCTTCCTACATGCGAATGGGGGTGTTTGAGTGGCATTTGACACCATTTTCGAAATCTACAGTGAATTTCTGATCGACTCATGTATATATTTTTATGAATTTGACAGCATTAGTGCTACATAGTCGGTGTTTTATGTTGGTGTTGTTTCTCTCGACCTTTGTCTTGGACTTTTATCATATCTTTTCTCGAAAATGCTTGCCATAACCAAGTCTAAACTGTATCTGTATAAAGGGAATATGTGTTGAATATGAGGGGAAAGTAGTAATGACCATTCTGCCTTTCAAACTGCCAGAACAAGAAGGTGTGCTTGTAAGGTGATTGAAACTGCAGTACGGGTTGCAGATGTGGGTTTGACATTAGCATTGTTGTTGTAACCCCACTTGCTCTAATAAAATGGCAACATGGGGTTATGTACACACTATTGCACAGACTGGTATCAAGTTGGTTGATATGTGGAGGATAATGAAAGCATAAAAGAATAGGAGCGTTGCGTCTTGTGACTTATGTCAAGTCATTTTAAATCAAATGATTGTGATTGTAACTTTTACTTCAATTATTATTGCAAGTTTTGACCCTTTTAATCATCAAATTTTATGTGTACCAATTTCATATGCCTGTGTAATGTCTGTGCGGCTTTGTGCAGTGCGCGTGTCTTGAAACAAACCAATTTATTTTGTACCTTTTTGTACTTCAACAAATGTATGTCAAAGGACAAAAATGTCATGTCTATTATCATTGACACTACTACAGCTAACCCTGCCTGTATTCCTATCTTTCAGAGGCATTCAATTCAATCTGCTTTCCAGTGCAGTACCAAGGAGGCTGCAACTGAAACTCGCACAAAGGCAATCAAGTGTCACTTCATCAGCCTACAGTAACAGCCCATCTGTAATCAAGATATGGATGAAGGGGCATAGAAGAACAACCAGTTGAAACATGAAAAGATTGTATTTTGTTTTGGATTATTTCTTAGCATAACAGATCAGTATTCAGTACACTTGCTGCTTTTTATGTTTGCCCTGTGTGCAGTTTTGAATAATTTTAACCATGAGATGCTTTTGTCAACTATTCTCTTTACATAAGCTTCCTTTGTCATGCATGTGTAATTTTGAGTTTACATGCATGATGTAGGCACATTTCCCTTGGCTTCATAGAAGTTAAAACTACTTGCAAGCTTTGGTTATGGACATTGGTGCTATATATGATGCTTCAAATGTGTCCAGTAGTTGATGAAGGGAGAAGAGGAGTAGGACAGCTGATAGCTATTACCAAAAGTATGTGCTTGTCTGCACTTCGGGCTATTTTACTTCCTCGAGTTAAAAAACCCTCATCTTTTGTTTCTTTCCTGTGTGCCCATCGTTTCCATGGTGCTATACATAAACGTCAAGTTTGAAGTTGGTATCCAAGTGAGCAAAATGTTATTATTTCAGTCCGTCTTGAATCATTCGTCTTGAATTATATCCCTAACTGACATCCTGTTATTTGTCCTGCAATGTCTGTGCCTGTGTCCGCCCTTACCTCCGGCTCCAGCCTCCAACCAGCCCTGCTGAGCTCTGTCGCCGGCGCGGTGTGTCGCAACGTGCTGTTTCTCACTCCAGCCGACAGCTGCTAGGAATCGTCCTGTGCCATGCGCCATGCGACACAGCAATTGTAAGCTGCAGGTCACATTCGGACTGATTGGCTCCGCGTATGTGCATCCGGCCGGGAGCTAGTCGATATCAGGGACGTGGGTCGGACTGTTGTGGCGGCGTGCACTGTGCTGGTTGAAGTTGTATTTCTGTTAGTGAAAAGCATTAATACATAACCGTGGCCGCAGCCCAATGTTATTGTGGATTTCAGAGAGAGTGGCCAGTCAGGAGGGCCCCATGTGGGTATGGATCCAGTGTCCAGTGGGATTGGCTAAGATTTCCGGCGATTGATAAACGCTTCTATGATAGTAAACCTATTGAGTTATGAGGGGAGGTCACGTCACACGTGACGGACCTGACCTTACTAAACTCTTGTGAAAACACGACACATACGAACGGTAAGAAACCGACAACTCTTCTTTCTGCCAAGTGTCATCTTTCTGTGAAGGATTTCTTGGCACTGAGTGTTCAGAAATTGCGTTGTTTTTGGACTGTGCAGAGGCTCACGAGCGACAACATAGGTCAACAACCTGACCTACCTTAAATATGCGACTTGTACCATAAGATCCAGCTTGATCAAAAGATAGAACATGTCAAATTTCATCTCTGTATCTCAAAACAATTTTGAGCTATCGTAAAAACCGCCAGTGTGGCACCGTATCGCCTCCGCGCGCGGTCGGAAGGTAAAAGTTCGCCGGCTCTAACTAAACAAATAGTCGTCGTATCGCAAATTCATTGACGGCGTTCTAAGCGTCGTTCAATTTACTTTCGAAACATATCCTAACATTACCATTTAACTGCCTAGTGCAATCACCAACAAGCAAAAGTTCCGCGCATCCCTCCTCATACAGTGTTAGCGGCGGCCGGCCGCCGGCCGCTGACCCACATTCGCGTCATCAGGGAATGCCGCAACTAATTTATTGTTTCCAACTTTTTTCCCGGAGCGTTCTACCTGGTTTATATAGCCTTGCATTTTTCGTAATGCTGAAGGCACGGGAGCGAACCCCCCTGCCTGTACCCTCATTTTTCTAATTGTCGTTATTATCTGCCTACTTGCCTACTTACACTGCTTTTCAGCTCTGAAATATTAATTAAATGTGTTGATTATAATGGCTGCAAGAAGCGAAAGCCAGAAGAAATTTCTTGAAAATGTTCAAATAGATCTTAGGAACTTATCACAGGAGGCTAAGAAGAAATATCCTCAATTAAAAGATGTAAGTACCTACCGGGGTATTTTACATGTTTTGGACATTAATTGTGCTGATATTGATGCTCAAATCATGCTCTTAATCTTTAAAGCAATTTGTTCTCTATGTAAATCAAAATGGTAATAATAATGTGACATGATTTCTGATTTTTCAATTATTTTTATTTCACCATAAACTTGAGATACAAGTGCATGAAAAACAGGAAAAGGTGATTTTGTTTATTTGACTGTTAGATTGAATTAATATGGAGATTTTCTGACACCTGTCTTTACTTTCTACCTTTTTTCTTCTCAATAGTGACCATTCTCCTTTGACCCCCAGGCATGTGAGGAGGCAATAGTGAAAGTCAGAGGTGGACTGGCAAACCCTGACGTCACCCTCCCGCACATCAGTGCCCACATCCTCTACCCACTTGTACAGGGCTGCGAGACAAAGGAGCCAAAAATTGCAAAGGTTTGTTGACATCAGCCATATGACTTGAGCCCTCAGAGTTTATTTTCACTAATAATTTTCACATACTGTTTAAAGAGGAATGTGTCATGTATGTCTTTCAGCTGAAGTGCAGGGTGATTGAATTTTTTTATTTAGATCTTTTTATTTCATTTACGTTTACCATGTTGAAATCAATTAGTTAGTTACCTGTTGCTTTGTTATCACACATTTGTTCCTCAAATAAAATATCAAATTATCAGCAAAATTATTTGCGTGCAATGTTCTGATGGTTGGAGCACTTATCACTATAGCCCCCCCCCCCACACACACACACATGCTAACATTCAAATCAATCCCCATCAAGCCTTTGTAATCTCATTGTGTGACAATCTCTTCCCACTGTCTCCTGCAGCAATGTCTGGGCACGATCCAGCGGCTGATCCTGCAGCAGGCCGTGGACACCAAGGGTGCCGGCTACATCACAGAGACCGTCTGGGGCCTAATGCGCTCCAACATCGAGGAGGTGAAGCTCCTTCAGACGGTGGCACTGCTGCTTACAACAAATGCTGTCGCACAGGGTGACACGCTGGCCAAGGTCAGTAGGCTGCAGGAGCGGTTATCGTAAGTGGGATACATACGTGTACGGCAAATGGCGAGTGGTGTTTTGTTGGCGAGAGCGTCGCGGGACGGTGGCCAGGCCAGTCATATGTGTTTGGGGAAATCTAACATGCTACTAAATGTATCCAAAGGTACGGCTCTCGCGAGATTAAGCGGTAGGTTTTGCACTTTTACATTTCTGGTTATATCTCAGAAACTAATCGATCTACGATGAAGCCATTTTACACGATCATGGCCGGCTTGTGAACCAACAAGTCGATCACATCGTCAACGCTTAAAAGCTTAAAAGCTTAAAACGACGAAGATATAGCCTGAAGTACACTAAATTCTCTAGGTGCAAAACCTACCGCTAAAACCCGCGAGACCTGTACCTATTTATCCTATTATTCGTCTCATCATCGCCGCACTTGTGGGCCTCTCGCGCACATTTGCCGTTCTGTCTGCTCAGTGTCGTCAGTAGGTCGAATTGTCATTATTTACCGGAATATCTGCCCGCAGAGTTTGGCGCTGTGTTTCCGGCTGTGCTTCTGTAAGGACTCGACTGTGATGAACACGGCCGGTGCCACCGTCCGCCAGCTGGTGTCGCTCGTGTTCGAGCGAGTCCTCACTGAAGATAGCAGGGACCCGCCAAAGGTGAGGTGTCACGCGGTCCGCACTGAATCGTCACAGAGTCCGCACTGTGTCATCACTGATAATTGTCATGGCGAGTCTTTGCTGGGTTCTCGCGGAGAATAGAATGGATCCGCGAAAGGTAAGCCCTCAGTTAGTCCTCGCGGAAGACAGGGATCCGCCGTTGATGATTATTTACCAAATACTCTGAGATTTTTTCGAAATCAGCATTTGTGAATCGGGTAAAATGGATGATGCATCGGATAATTTTCGTAAATGTTATTGAATGTTAAACTGTTGGAGGCATTGGGCATATGAAGAAAGAAAGTGAAAGCTGTTACGGTGAAAATAGCGATACGTAACTCAAGGAACGTCACATTGATATCGTAATCGTCAGTAACGATTTCGGTACGGTATTTTGCAGTTTGTGGCGTATTTCCGTTTAGGTTGGCGATTGTTGTAAATAGTGCAACATGGTGCAAGTCATTTTGTTAGTCGCTCAAATTTGATTGATGTAACTGTACTTTATTCAAATATTTCCGTTCGAACGAGTTTTGCTTAGGTCTTGGTCTCTATCACCTGGCAAATAAGTTCTGAATTGAAAGCCCAGTGTCGGGTGCGTTAAGTGTTCGCGGGTCGTAGTCGGACAATGGGTATGATCCGCTCAGTTGTAACCAGGCCCTAATACTACTGTAACCAGGCGGGTGCTGCACTGAGGCGGTTTGAACCGGTTCGTCGGTCGGCAGCTGTCAGTCGGCTTAGTTACTGGGACTCGTGTTCCAACTTCCATATTATGCTATTCGGGGATGATCTCAGAAAAATGATACATTAACCAATTCATTGCAGTCACGATCAATCTGGGCATTATCAAAAGCAAGTTTATTCAATCAAAGTCAAGTATATTTTAAGTTGACCACAGTTTATTTCCATGCATGTCAACTCTCGAGCTGATTTTTCGCTGAACTCCGCTGGGAGCTAAATGCATGCGAGGCCTTGAGCAGCTCGATACCTCCAAATAGATGTGTCACCATTAAGGTCACCTGTGAACCCCCAGACGTCGTAAAATGCTGCTTGGCCCGAGTTTGGCTGACTGTCGAGTGTCGCAGTACCGGAGGTCTGTTTCCCCAGCTGGCAGCTGATTTTAAATGGATCGATATGTTTACGTCGGTACACCTGGGGTCTTTGTTTAAATAATGAAGAGATGCCTCAGGAGGCCGATAAGGTGTAACACTCTGAAAGGAAGCTTTGCAATCGGTTCAAGAGCCGGCTTGGCTGGAATATATTTTAGTACCTGCACGTACCCGTTCTTTGTTGTTGCTAACTTTTTTGAATTGTTTCAATTATATGCGCAAACGATGCGTAAGTTCTTAATATGTTGCATTTATTTGAGCGAGTTATATGTATATGTAAAAGCTTCCGTTCCTACGCTTTCCTCGGGTAAAGTCTATGAGCTCCCGACACTCCCAACACATGTACCTTAGTCTACAACTACACTGCACCCATATAACGTACTGCAGGTTGTTGTTGTTGTTGTTGTTGCTTGACCCCCGGCTACCGCCGGGGCGGTAGCGTAGCCGACCGGCTCTTGTGGGCCATGTATCCGGCGGCCAAGGCCGCCACCACGTCGTCGCGCCGGACATCGTGGGCCGCGCCGATGATATTGCCCAGCGCACGGAGCCGGGGGCCGTACAGACACGGGCATTCCAGCAACACGTGCGCCGGGGTGTCCGCTGCTTCAGAGCAGACTAGGCAGCGCGCACCATCCCGTGCCTGGCTCTAACCCTGTCCTTTATCCCCTCCACCGTTCGTTACAGACGTCAGGTGAGGCGTCCGACATGGAGCACCTGAAGACAGCCAGCGGGTCGCCGCCCAACACACTGAAACCGGCCGCTGCCGACGCCTACCTGCTCTTCCAGGTGACACGGGGAGACGGGAGAGTGTTCTGGATGGGGATGATATAGACTAGCGAAAGGTGAAGGAAATAGGTGGGGTGGCGTGGAACTGGTGGGTGGGAATTATTTGAGTAGTTTTACGGAACGCGAGTAACCAAAGGGAGGTTTGGCAAATTATGACTGGCAAGATGTGATCACTATTCCATAGTTGCTGGCTGACGAAAGGCTACTGGTGTGAAGTTGAGTGTGGACACGGTGTCTAGTACTATGATGCCGATTTATTATGTGACTGATAGGCCCAAACTCCGCCCATCGCTGAAATGCATGATGTTCGCCAATCTCTGCCACAGGACCTCGTCCAGCTGGTGAACGGCGAGCAGCCGTTCTGGCTGGCGGGACTCACTGAGATGACGCGCACATTCGGCCTGGAGCTGATCGAGTCCATACTCTCCTCATTCCCGGGAATCTTCTACAAGGTTAGTCACGACGTGAGGGTGTGAGTCGCGGTGTTGGGAAGTGGGAACCCGTGAAAGCCATTGGACTCTTTTGGTTTCAATTATTGTTATGAAGATATTTCGTTTTGTTTTGTGTGAATTGCGATTTACAATAAACTGGGAAAGATCCTCTTTTTGCAAGCTACTACTTTGCATCTGAATGAATTTCTATTACCTCGATTAAAATTAAGCTTTTAGTCCGCATTCGCCTTTTTTGTGCGACACAATCGAGTGATAACAGACCCAGTTTATATTTAAATACCCCAGCTACCGTTGTCCTATGTCTAAAATGTGCGCTATGTTATCCTCCCGGGCGGCCGCTCCTCCTAGTACCATTGATCGATTCGCTTACCTCCCTCCCCCTACGTTTGCAGCACCCGGAGTTCACGTTTCTGCTGAAGGAGCGCGTGTGTGCCATGGTGATCCGTCTGTTCTCACCAAACCTGAAACACCGCGGCGCGGCGCCGCCCCACGGCACTCCGCCCAGTCCGCAGGACAAGCCCTACTTCCCCATCAGTATGAGGCTGCTCAGAGTGGTGGCCGTGCTTATTATGAAGTTCTACCCGCTGCTGGTGAGTGTCGGGAGAGAGGTGGGATGCTAGGAATAACATAGCTGTTTAATGGTGTTGTGGTGACGTGAATTATAAATTTTATCGCTAACTTTTTCATAAAGGCGCACAGAGGTAAACTACGTAAGTGGCCATAAACAGTTTCCAGCGGCTACAGGCTAGGTAATTTCTCTATTTCGTTTCACTGAATAACGTCCTCTAAGTACTAGCATTGCCGTCAGTAGGTGTGTTACCTGAATTGCAATGTGAGAGTTGCATTTGGTGACTGGTACCATACGAATTCTTTGTCCCAGTTGACCTGGTCCCTGCCTCGGCTGACCCCCGGTTTTCCTGCCCTCAGGTGACCGAGTGTGAGATCTTTCTATCGCTGGTGGTGCGGCTGCTGGAGCCCGACAAGCCCGTCTGGCAGCGCGCCGTCGCCCTCGAGGTGATCCACAAGCTCTCCGTCAGGGAGGACATCCTCACTAGCTTTTGCACCAGCTACGACATGAAGCCGCACTCGACCAAAATCGTGCAGGTCAGACGAATGTAGCAAATAAAATAAAGTTTATTCTGAAATGCTGCTTTTGCTTGTAATTTTGGTGCCGTGACATCTCAACCAAATATTCTTAAATACGATGGCTTTCCGAATATCAACATGTTTTGGGATGATGCCCCTTTGGCAGCCGCCATGCGGTGCCTTAACTCGCCGAATCTACTGCCGCTTTCACAGGACATTGTCAACAGCCTGGGTGCTTACGTGCAGAGTCTGTTCGTTCGCGACTCGGCTGGAGCGTTCTCTTCGTCCGGTGAGTATCGTGAGATCCCGGTGCCATGGGTGTTCGAGTGCAGCTAGGGAATCTCGAGAGTGTGTAATTATCACTATGTGAGAAGTGCGCTTATGCTCTCGCCCAATCCCTGACAACACTCTGGCTTATCAAGGGGAACGGTGCCGATGAAGGGCCACCAGCTTGTGACTGCTTTGATATTAGTTAGTCTGACCTGCCAGACTCGGCAGTGATCTCCGGTTCTCCCTCCGTGCTCCCGCAGTGGCCGGCTCAGCAGTGACCCAGGGCCACCCGCCGTCGCTGCTGGCCGGTATGCCGGTCGGGCCCGGCGTCACGCCCCAGCCGGCCTTCTACTACCGAGGAGTGTGGATCCCGCTGGCCGTGTCCTTCCCGCCCGGAGCCACCAAGGCCACCTAGTGAGTAAAGTGACAGCGGAATAATATACGGGAAGTCGAGAGGCCGGGCCAATGAGGAAAGGCAAGAATGTTATATGCTGGTGTCTGATGTGGTTGATAAGACTTTGAGTTCACGAGAGCAACTAATGTTGATTTAGCTCCTTGACCAGTGGAACACAAATTGCTGATATTTTATCGGCGTTGTGGCATATAGTAAACTAATAAATATATCTTTTGTTCGGACCATCCTATTTGTATCGGCCTTCATGAGAACGTGGCTTGTGTTGCAAACTGGCTGATTATGTGACTCGACGACGGCTTACGGGCTTACGTGCCCGTGAGCCGTCGTCTGATCAAATGCTGTCCTGTCTGCTCCTTCACCTGCCTCCGTCTCCCCCAGCCTGGAGATGCTGGACAAGGTGGAGCCTCCGTCGGTGGTGGAGGGCTACGGAGCCTCCGTGGCGTACACGTGTCTGATCGAGATCGTGCGCTCCCTGACTCTGATCACGGACCGGGCGCTGCCGCCGGAGCCGACTGTCGAGCCCGCCGCCGCCGCCGATGGGGCCAATGGGGCCGCTCAGAAGACTGACAGGTCAGTCAGATGGGAGAAAGAGGCGACTGATGGTGGAGTTCTCAAACACAGGATTGCTAATTGTGCTGAAATTATTCAGCAACGACCTGTGTTGCTTTAATTAAATTCGTATTGGTCGAAATTGGGTGCCTTATTTATTCCTGTCTGAACTAGAACAATTTTAATGTTGTTGAATTTTGCGATCATACATAAGAGACTTTTGTTGATACAGTTTGACACTTTGTTGATAGAACCATTTGTTGATCGGTCTCGGTGTTTCACCTCCGTTTTTCAAAGCTGTGTTCCTGGTTCACAGCAAATCAGCAGCGGAGCCGGAGCCTGCTAGCTCCTCTCCCGATGCCTCACCAGCAGCGGCCGACTCCTCGCCCACCCCCGCCGCCGCCCCGACCGCCGAGGGGTCTCCTACTACAGAGGGCCAGGAGGCGGTGGCTCCTCAGGATAAGGAGCAGGAGGCCGCCGACTCGGGCCGCCAGCTCAGCTGCCAGCTGGTCAACTCCAGCTGGTGCGGCCTGCTGGCGGCACTCTCAGTCCTGCTCGAGGCCAGGTGAGATTATGCGAGTGTTGCATGAGTATGAATGGATCCACTTTACCGAATGTGACATCACAAATCCTGGCTTTGAGCTTACTCACAGTTGATCGTTCTAGTGTTCTTATATTCTCAGCACATTTTTTTTTTTAAATCAGCACCACGGCCCACTCTCCTGTAGACCGCGATGATTAGGCTGTCTGCTCCCGAATTCCACATCTTTCCTTGCCACTTCGAACTCGTTTACGTGCCTGACCGGGATCCCGTCCCCTCAGCACGGACGAGTCGGCCACAGAGGCGATCTTGAAGGCGATGCAGTCTCTGGCGCAGCTCTCGGGCCGGCTGGAGCTCACCACGCCGCGGGACGCCTTCATCACAGCCGCCTGCAAGGCCTCTCTGCCGCCGCACTACACACTCACCGTGCTGAACCCGCAGAGGTCTCCGACGCACGGCCCGTCGGCGCCCGCGCCCGCCGCGGCCGCCGCCGCCGCCGCGCCTGACGGCCTCTCGCGGCAGCAGGTGGTGGCGGTGGGCACCGCGCTGCCGACCGCTTCACTACCCGCCGGTAAGATTCGGGAGGAGAGAGGTAGTGCAGGATAGGGTGGATTCATCACTCGTTATTTATCGTTACATGTCTTCTGAAAAGAACTGTGAAAGGAACATGAGCCGTTGAAAATTTTTATGACGTTTTTCATGAACTTTTGGTGAATAAAGGCTTGATTGATTTCATATGGACCAGTCTTTGCACATCCCGATTAATCTAATGCGACTTAGGCCATTTCTGTTCGTCTTCATCCCTCGTCCATGTGTTGATGTCCCCTGCCTGCACTAATCACCGTGCCTATTCCCTACCCTCCCCTTCCGCAGCCGCGCACCAGGGTCCTGTGATGCTGACGGCCAAGAACCTGCAGTGTATGCGGGCGATCCTGGCGCTGGCACACTGCCACGGTGCCGTACTGGGCACCGCCTGGCATCTGGTACTCACCACACTGCAGGTATTGATCGGCATGTGGTGGACTGGTTCTAGAGTTTCTTGGCGTAATTTTATTTTTGAACTGCCACCTTGTCCTCTCAACAGTCGCTGTGCTTGATCGAGCGAATAAGTCAGGCTCATTTTTCATTTATTTTTAGCCCAGGGCACGCCAGCAGTTCAACTGTTAGTTTAATATGCCTGCTTCACAACTGTTACGGGCAGTTGGCACAGGTCTCCCCTCTATGTCCGTTTTTATATCGGTATGTGCCGTCCCTCTGACCTCCCTCCCCGTGCCCTCCTCAGCACCTGGTGTGGATCCTGGGTCTGAAGCCGGCGACGGGCGGCTCTCTGAAGGCGGCCGCCCGGCCGGTGGGTAGCGGGGGCGGCGGCGGCGCGGCCGGCGGCGGCTCGGGCGCCGACGCCGCCGTCCTGACCACGGCCGTGCTGGCCGACCTGCCCGTGCTGTCCGCCATGCTGTCGCGGCTGTTTGAGAGCAGCCGGTACCTGGATGAAGTGGCGCTGCATCATCTGATCGACGCGCTCAACCAGCTGAATCACGAGTCGATGGAGCTCGCCTTCTCCAATCGGGTGAGAGTGACTGCGTGATGAGCGAGTAGGGTGACGGCAGAGCTGAAATGTTATGGGATGAGGAGGGTTTCTAGAGAACCAGCGTTTTGGACAGTGTCCGGTAGTGCAATTTGTTATTAACTTATGATAGATGTGGTTATCGCTGCTTCTCACACTAACTCAGAAACTGAACCGCGCATCTTTATATTTCTTGCTAAATGTTTATCGTCGTATAGCTTATTTCCTCCTCTCCTCTGTCGCCACCCTCAGCCTTTGACACGCCGCCGTCTTTTCCTGTGCCCAGGAGCCGTCGCTATTCGCTGTGGCCAAGCTCCTGGAGACGGGTCTGGTGAACCTGGACCGTGTGGAGGTGTTCTGGCGGCCGCTCACCTCGCACCTGCTCGACGCCTGCCAGCACCCCCATCTGCGCATGCGCGAGTGGGGCGCCGAGGCGGTGACCACGCTGACCCGGGCGGCGCTGCAGCACACCTACCCCACGCCGCTCAAAGACAACCAGGTACCGAGGGGCGGGGTGATGGTGTTCGGGCTGGTGCAGTCGAGTCAGTCAGTCGAGCTGTAGCTGTTGACGTCTCTGCATCATAAGGGAGCTTTGCATATGGTTAACATATTTAAGCATATTTTCATAATACTATAACTATGTTATCGTTAATATTTTTAGCGCCGGTAGTGCCTTGACTTTTAGATGGTCCTTGAATGTTATGTCCATAAGAGTTTCCATGACCTCACTGTTGTTTCTTGTTTCCTCTGAAGCGATCAAATTGCGTACCATTTCCTGCTAACTCCTGCCAGCGTGTCACCTGACCCTAAAAGACGAATTTACACTTGCGTTCTCCGTTACAGCGCCTGCAGACGCTGCTGCTGACGCCGCTGCAGGAGCTGTCTGTGGTACCGCAGGCCGACATCCGTCAGCGCCAGCTCGAGTGTACGCTGCAGGTCCTACAGAGCTGCGGGGAGCGGCTCTCGCACGGCTGGCCGCTGGTGCTCACCATCATCGGAGCGGTCAACGAGAGGCACACGTGAGTGGGGACTTCGGGACGGTCGCATGTCAGATACAATTGCATAGTTATAAGGGAAAATACTACTTCAGTCTGACTGCAGGCTACTGTGAGTGACGATGAATGACGGCCGCTGCCTTGCTACATTATTCTCTACTCGTACGTACATTATTCTCTATTCGTACCGAAGCTGGAAGGAGGAGAATGTGTTTTCGGGGAGTGAGATTACTGAACAGTGTGCAAGCTGTTCCCGGCGAGCCTGGGTTCCGCCGTACTGTCAGGCGGCTCGTGAGATCGGCTGACGCGCTGTGAGCAGTTGGTGTATGTATGATGGGTTTGTGTGTTTAGTGTAAATGTGTCCTCATTGTGTCCGCATTGTAACTGACGTAGAAGAATGAAAAGCCAATATATTGTATGGATTTCTTTTGAATACATCTGTATCTGTATCTGTACTCATTTTCAGTGAACAGCTGGCGCAGTTGGCGTTCCAGTATCTGCACTTGCTTATTAGACCCTTGCCCTGTAATGGAGGTCTGATTTAGCAGCAGCCGTTGACAGTCCTTTCCTATCCACAGTGAGCAGCTGGTCCGACTAGCGTTCCAGTGTCTGCAGCTAGTGGTCACCGACTTCCTGCCGGTGATGCCCTGGAGCTGCCTGCCTCCCTGCGTCGATACGGTGGCCAAGTTCGGATCGCAGACGCAGGAGCTCAACATCTCTCTCACCGCCATCGGACTCATGGTCAGTCACCGGCGCTCGCGTAGTCCGGTGCTGAAGTTAGTCAGTTGGCGATATTCTATAGATTCTTACTTTATCTAAAATGTGTGCAAGCTCCCTCGCGCTGAATGTTTCGTAAAACTGCAAATTGACCTTGCCTTACATTACGACTTACAACCTAATCATTTATCGCCGTTGATGTTCAACGCTACTTTAAACAAACTTAATGTATATCTGTTACTCCTTGCGTTGTCAGTTTCACTCCCTTCAAACGCCAGCCATGTTTACCTACTTTAATTGTCCTGTTTGGTCATTTCAGTGGAACATCTCGGACTACTTTTTCCAAAGCCAGGACAAGCTGCGCAGCTGCCTGACGGCCGAGGCCGGCGTGTTTCCCGAGTTTCCCGGCGTTCAGAACATGCCACCGTTCGACCGGCTCTGGATGTGTCTGTTCGCCCGGCTAGGTGAGGAAACTGGGAGGAGAGGAGTTGACACTGGGCGCTGCAGTCGCAGTGCTTTGCAGTAGGAAAAGCACATATTGGAACGGACTGATAACGGCGAGAGACTGCTATGATTCTGGTGATCTGTTAATGACAGCGCTGTATAATAGAGCAGCTCGTAATGTGAGCTTTAAGTAGGTTTTATTATAAGTGAGCTGGTGCGTTCCTTATTAGGTACCTACCTGTCCTAACCTACGTCACCGCAGTCAGCGTTTCAACTTCGCTACATATCCAGCCTGACGTCTCAGCTGTTGACCTTTTTTACCGTTGTAACTCACTATTGCTCCATTGGTCGCCAGGTGACCTGTGCGTGGACAGCCGGCCTGCGGTCCGTAAGTCTTCCGGACAGACCCTCTTCTCTACCATCGCGGCGCACGGCTCGCTGCTGCAGCACAGCACCTGGCAGGCTGTTCTCTGGCAGGTGAGTGAAAGACCCACGCAGTAAGACCATAGCAGTGGTGGGGGTGACGGGTTTTTTGGTCGTATTCTGCTGAAATTAAGCGCTCATGATGATGACTGGTGCATAGCATTACTCTTGATTTTTTTTCTGCTACGCGTCTTTTGTGCTCTTCAACTGTCATCCGCCCCGTATGCCTGCCGTCCATTTTCCATATTTTGATGCGTTTGACTTTTCCTCCCGTCACCTGCAGCTTACCAATGGGTTGTGTGTTCCCTCTACCTGCAGGTGCTGTTCCCGCTGTTGGACAAGGTGCGGACGCTCTCCGGCTCTGCCAGCACAGAGAAGGACGACACGGGCGGCAACATCCTCATCCACCACTCGAGGAACACGGCCCACAAACAGTGGGCAGAGACACAGGTACGGCTCAACGGACTCTGAGCCTTGGCATACAGCGGAGATCAATACGATCTAGCGGTCAGAATTCGGCAGTCAGTGACACCATCTTAGCTGGTTAGAATTCACGGTGATTAAGTCTGTAAGAATGCTTCGTGTGCTAATTGTTGATTCTTGGAAAATCGTGATGAAATGGAAAATCGTAATGAAATATTGAATATGGATAATTGTGTGAACTTTATTTAGTTCTGGAGCCGACTTGTTATGTTTGGTAGTCGGTACTTCTGCTGCTAACCAATGTCCGATCGACCGTTGACTGAATGACCTCACCATCACCATTCCGTCTCATGCAGGTGCTGACGCTGTCTGGCGTGGCTCGGGTGTTCCACTCGAAGCGCTCGATCCTCTGTTCGCTGGCCGACTACCAGCGAGCCTGGGCGCTGCTCCTAGAGTTCATACAGAACGCAGCGCTCAATGAGAATAACGAGGTGAGCCGCGGCGCCGTCCGACTGGGAAACTCCGGGTTTGATGTTCTGGTGTAGTTGGGATGGGAGTGGAACATGTTGAGGGGTGTGAGAAAATTTAGACTCAGCTTCAGTCACGATTGAAAGTTGGAGTTTTTTTTTTTTTGTCGTGATATTCATCGATTTTACAATAGGCATCGCGGAAATTGATACCTTGAGTGTTCACATCATGTCGATTGTGAATTGTGATACAACCAGCGACTTTCTCTGACTTTGGCTTTCTCTGCGCCCGATAGGTGTCCCTGGCGGCGCTCAAGTCGTTCCAGGAGATAATGTCATCGAGTAAGGGCGGCTCGACCGAGGGCACCGGCTCGCCGTCATCGGCTCAGGACGACGCTCAGGTCAACTGGAGCGCTGCCTGGCGGGTGAGTACAAGCATGCTGGTCGATGCCTGAGGAGGAACGCATCGCTGTTATCTACGGGGTGTACTAACGAGCCGCTTGAACGGTCTGATTCGTTTGGCCGCGTTGTTTTCTGTGATGTAGCTAGCGAGCGAGACGGTTGCTGTCTGCTGATAATGTTGAGCAATTCAATGGACTCTGGCGATAATTTCCATGTGTGTTGCTGATCTATGTCTCACCCCTGTCATGTCAGTGACGTTTCTGTCTGTGCACTTTTCTAATGTCATTCTCTGGTACGCAGGTGTGGCACAGTATCGGCTCGGGTGTGACGGAGCCGCCGCCGCCCGGCGGGCCCACCGCTGACGTGTTCGTACCGTCCCAGCCGTTCCTCACGGCCCTGGTGCAGATCTTTCCTGGAATGTTCCAGCACATTAAATACAGGTCGGTTAGCATCCTGGACTGGTTTGAAGCTTGGAAGAGGCTCGCATGATTGTGGAAATAACCTTTTACGGCCTGAGAATATGACTGTTAAAGTATTTCACGAACAGTCTATCCCGGGATAGCATCATATACCTGCCTTCTTTGCCGATACAAAGTTTCTGTTCCACTGTTTCCTCATAGCCATTCATCTACCGTGGCAAATTGCCGGTCGTGTTCATGACCCCTCAGTGTGTCATTACTCATTACTCACCCTCCCGCCAACCGCTCAGCTTCGGTGTCTTCTGCGTTCCAGGTTCCGTGCGGAGGACTTTTCGACGCTGTGTTCGATCCTGGAGCGGGCGGTGGCCGTGCCGGTACACGGAGAGGTGTCACCCTTCATCCTGCCCTCTCTCACTGAGGTGGTGCTCACCAAACTGCAGGAGGCCGTGCTCGCCTGCCTCGACACCGTGGAAAAGGTTCGTGCCGCTGTGGCTAGATGGTCTGTCGTGGTTTGCGGGGATGGTGTGATGGATTAGATATGCTTACTATGGTGGCGCTCGATAGAATAGATATGATAGCCTGGCCCGTGCATCCAACATGCTTCTGTAAGTATTTTGTATCATTGTTTCGCAATTTTGTGCTGGATGGTTTCTTCATTTGATTCTGTTGATATCACCTGAGTCTGAACTTTGAACTTAACCTGATTTGTCCGTAAACATGAGTCGCTGTCCAACACGTATCTCGTCAGCTTAGTGTACCGGCCCTGACTCTGACCTGACCTGACCCGGCTGACCTCGTCCTCAGGGCGCACTATCCGACACGGAGCCGGTGAATCAGCTGATCCCGGCGCTGTTTGACCAGCTGCTGACGTTCTCGCGGTACGGCTGTCAGGCCCCGTCCTATGGCGACGTACCGACGCGGCCACAGGGCAACTCGTCCAACAAGGTAGGTACGGGACCGGGCTAAATGTTTGGGAAGGGGGGGGGGGGGGGGTGCGTACGGACTGCGAGAAATTCATCGACTGAGGTACTCGCAACGTCATCAGAAGCTGATTTTGACTGAACATTGCCAGCCTGCTGCTTAGTTTTCAGGTCTCCGAATGTTGCATTAATTTGTTGTGTCTGTACGAGCGTGATTCTGCATTCGAGCTATCTCATTTGCTTTGACCTTTTCCCGTACGATGGGCTGGCTGATCTGTCCTTTCGATTAGTTGTGATCGAGGATGACTTTTGAGCCTCTTACTTCCCTTCCCAGACGACCGACTGGGTGGCCATGAACTACGTGCCTTTCGCCGAGACCACGCTGCGCCGGGCCACGGCGCTCTACAAGACTACGGCGCGCAGATCGGATGTCATCGAGACCAGGGTGCTGGAGAAAATCATACAGGTAACCAGCATCACACTACACTGTATGAGGCGGCGGTGATAGCGAAAGTGTATTATATACGGCTTTTAAAGGTCTGAGCCATTAACTTAAGGTAGATCACCATATTACAGGAATTGGTGGTTAGATAATTGACATGGCAGTTCAAATTATTATATCACATGTAACGCGTAATTTTTGTCTTTTTGCTCTCTATTGCACCATGTGATTCAAATCATGGTGTGTCTCAACTTGCTGTTCCTACCGTAGGAGACTGCCACCCCCTCCCCCTTGGCCCTCACCGACTTAGACCCGCAATCTCCTTCACCCCGCGCCTTCTGCCCCTCCGCCTCAGATGCTGGAGCTGCCGCTGTCGCTCAAGTACGCGTGTCCGGCGCCCACCACGTGGCGGCTGGCCGTCTCCTGTCTGCTGGACGTACTGAAGGAGGGTCTGGTGACGGCCCGGCAGCACCGGCAGCACAGTTCCAACGTGTGGCCGCGGCTGGCCGCCTGCCTGGAGGCGTTCCTCTTCTCGCAGAGGTGGTTACGGCTGACCCGGCTGACCGCGGGGTCGCTGGTCGGTGCGCGTGGGGTAATTTATATAACTTCCGTTAGGTTCGTTGCTTGTCTTCTGTCTTATCAGTCCCTAAAATTCCCTGTGTGATCTCAGTTCGACTTCTTTCTATCCTATGTCTCATACGTGTATCCTATGTATCCGCTCTTATAACCGGTTTATACGAACCTTTTGTGACACGAATATGGCCCACGTGACCGCCAGTGAGCCACCAGCCTCTCTGAGCGCGGAAGAGCAGCAGGCGGACGAAGCTCTCGACTGCGCCGTGGTCCGTATGCTGCGGGACGACGTACTACCGTTCGCCGCCGTGGTGCCCAACCAGTTCCTGGTGTCTGTCATGGCGCTCCTCAACAGGGGGTCGCTGCACTCGGCACAGCATGAGAGCCTCGGTAAGTGAAGTACGGGAAGAACGAGGATTTGAGGCGCTGGACGAGTCGGACGAGTTACAAGCCGTAGTTACTTGTTTGAATGCAGCTGCTGTGGGACATAGTTATGTAGGCTGGGACCGAACAAGGGGATACCCAAAAAGAGCGACTACAGCATAATTAAACATACGGCAAACAAAATACGCGAAGAGCTGCGTCTGATAACGGCCGGCTAACCTCTCTTCCCTCTCTCCACAGAAAACGGCACCAGCCGTCTGCGGGAGGAGTTTGCCAACGCGTGTTTCGAGACGCTGCTGCAGTTCTCTCTGCAGGCGGGCCCGGCGGCGGCGCGTGCGTCTGCGGACGGCGGGATCACAGCCCAGCTGGCCGTCACGGCGCTCGTACACAGGTTCAGGGAGGTGCTGGTCGGCTTCGTGGAGGACGGCAAGCTGGCCGGAAAGTGTCCCCTGCCCAGGTCAGTCCCGGAGGCCGCGGGTGGTCTGTTTGTTATAGGTGCATCATGATTTCTGTAACGATCGGTTTTGCTTTAGGAAAATCCGTCCTGAAGTGTACTGCGAGAAATGATGACCACCTTTCCACTCGGGGACCAACTTTTAAAATAGGCGTGGAGGTCAATATTGGTACTGGCCTCGGTTCGCTCAGTGCTTCGTGGCACATGCTATTCCGCTTCAAAGTTTCGGTGACACGAAATTTTTTGTCAAGGCTACAGGTCAACCCGAGGTCACGGACAAAGCCACACTGGCGGGACACATCGGTAACACCTTGAACCAGTTTCCAGGGGGGTCACCGTCTGCGAGGGGTGCAGGCTGCACGTGCTGGGGGCGGAAAACCGTTTTGACGTGAGGTCCTCTGGCTCAAAGAAATTTTGAGCTATCAACCTCAAAATCGGTTCAATGGTAGTCTCAGGCAAGGCCTCCAAAATAGTGCACATTTGGTTGAGCTTAACTCTGTGGTGCATGAGCTAGGTACGTGCAAGCCGATTGCACCCCTTCGTGCGTTGCCACGCCTGCAGGGTAAACGGCCGCTCTAACTGGTTCAAAACTTGCAGGTCATAAGAAGAATACATTGAGTCATAACATTCCGGCGAGATAATATCCGAGGGGTGCAAGCTGCGCGTGCGGGGGGCGGATAACGGTTTTGACTAGGGATCCTCTGATCCCGGGAAACGTCGATCTAGCGACACAAAAGTCGGTACACTGATAGAACTAGACACACGCTACATGATGTTATGAAAATGACTGCACTGGGGTGCCTGGGACATGAACTATGCACGTGCAGTTAATTCATACCATACTGTAGGTAGATATCCGCACCAATCTCACGTGCTTCGAAGCATTTTTGGGATGTTTCGTTTGGTTTCAGGTTCAGTCCAAGCTCAGTCTGGGTTTCGGTGGTTTGGCCCGGTGTGTGCCCTCAGTACCGTTCCTCCAATTCTGGCCCAAGGCAACGCAAGAGCGCTGCCGGCATCTAGTATAAGAAATGTACAATTGGCAACATACATTTGTTGCCGCAACCGTTATATTAAAGAACATATTGTGTCGGTAGCGCTTACATTTAAGTCATGAATTCTGTTATCTGTTGGGCTTTCTGCAGTACGAACTGACTGACTGGCTGCAGTGACCATTTTTCCAGACACCGCATGGCCGAGATATCGTTTGTCCTCCGTGCCATTACGTCGCTACTGTCTTCGTTGAAGAAGGCCGATCCTGAGAAAGGTAAGAGTTGGAGAGCGACAGTAATAATGCGTGCTTTTAGGACGTGGGTCGAGCTTTGATAGGACTGGGTGGTGCTTCTGAAGTTGTTGCATCAGGGACCTGACATTCCCGATCTATAAATGAACCATCAGCTGACGCCGACCTATCCCGTCCCACAGTGGACCACCTGACGTGGCAGCAGCTGGTGGAGCTCTACCCTCCGCTGGTAAGCTGCACTCTACTGGCCTCGGAACAGGTGGGCCGGCCACTGCACGACGCGCTGCTGCAGTACGCCGACCTCCTGCGGCCTCCCCCCGACCGGCTCGGCTCCGCCGCAGGACACAACGGTACCTCGTAACGACTACGGACAGACTAGTGTACTGTGGGGTCATCGCCCGCCGCGGTCTAGAACTGTGTAGACAGGGTCGCGTCCGTCCGTCCGTCGGGGCGGGCTGGTCGGCCTGCCCGGCTGGAGTCTGCCGAGCGCGGGGGCGACCGCCGCGGCCCCCCACACAGGTGATATGTAGCTGCTGTTCTGTTGTTGGCGGCCTGGCCGAGTTTGTTTATTTTTCTGTGCTTTTTGTGTGGTCGGGTTGATCTGACTGGAGAGTATCAGGTGGGGTGTTGTCGATGCTATGGGAGGGTCCGCGCGTGGACTTGTACCGAGTGCATGGGGCGGGGGAGCGAGTCATTCCATGGTATGAGACGGTAGACGTGTATGTGTGTTCGGGCGGCTAGATAGCGCGTTATTAGTGTTCAGCCGGGTTGGGCGTCACTCCGCGGTGCTAGCTAGAGCTGGCGATCTGCGGTGACCCGCTGGTGAACCCACATACGGCGGATCTGGTGACAAATACCAGACGGTTCTGTAAACTCTATGTTATGTGCAACAATCTGAACTTCTCCAGGCTTCCGTTCAGTCTCACTTCTCCGTTCGTTACCGTTTAAATCTTCCACCAAACTGTGAGCAGTGTTCCGTCCTTCCCTAGACAGCACCTCCCATATTGTCCATTTATTCACCTATCTAAGCCGCCGCGCGGGGTCCTTTCACAGGCTCGTATTCAGGTCTGGGCGACCGGTACAATAACGCACTCCGGTCGCCGACTGACTGATTGCGAGCGGCAACAGTTGTATATCAGGGCACCGTCCAAATAGAGCGGGGTCGGGCGCCGCGACGGGAACATACATAATCACATGCAAGTGAGACGTTGATAGCGATGATGGTAGCGTGGATATGCGAATACACGCGTTGTACACGAGACTGGAGTGTGAGATCGCCTCAGAACTCGAGGTTGATGTTGTGCTCCTTGACATGCGAGTTGATTGAGAAGGCCTCGTTGCCTCGGATGGAGAGGATCTCGCTCTCCAGCTTCGGACCGGTCCGCTCCTGCGGAGAAAAATCAAACGGGTTAACTGGTAACACAGCAGTGTGAGTGATTGTATAGCGACTTTCACCGTGAACAATACGTTAAAATGAAGAACTGGCTAGAACGAGCTCGCTTATACAATATGCGCCACAACCTTATGCTTTTTTTAGTCGCAATTGAATGCAACTGAAAAATTGATCGCAACTGAATGTTGCGATCAATCATGATTGTCAGCCTGCAGCTGCTGTGCAATTTTCAAGCAGTGACCCAATCGTCCATATTTTCCCAGACCCAGGCTGTCTGACCTTGCCCATGGGCGCCTTCTGCCAGCTCTCTCCGCCGCAGTTCTGGCACGGCAGTCGCGGCAGCTTGTCCAGGCTGATGGTGCGGCTCTTGCAGTTGTTGCAGCTGAAGAACCTCTTCACCGCGTCCAGCAGGATGGTGGTGTGTCCCTCGGACTTACACAGGTCGGAGGCCGACAGCGCCCGGTACTTGCACTGAAGGCAAGATTAGAAAAAATCACGTTAGGAATGGTGTTTACTTGTTTAGGCTCCAACGCACAGATTCAGATACATTAGGGGACGGGATAATGACTGGGTTGCGTAAGCAAGAATAATATCAGCGATTAATTATCAACGCGACATCAGACATGCCGCCGTCAAACGCGTGTCGTGATGTGAAAGGACGAAAGTAAGCAGCATATACGGACTCAACTCGAAGTCTGGCCAAATCCATAACATCCACTAACATCCACCATCACCGCCAGCGCGTGCTGACCTTTTTACAGTAGACGGCCTTGGTCTTGACCTCCCAGGTGGTGAGCATCTTGTTCTCGACCAGCTCTTTCTTCTCCAGCGCCTGGAAGTAGTGCTCCTGGCCCTCGGTGAGCTCGGCCTCCAGCGCGGCTGCGTGAGAGGAGCGTGCCTCCAGCACCGCCCGAAACGCCGGGTCGTCGGCGAGCCGGCTCCGCTTGGCCGCCGGGCCCGCTTCTGACGGAGGGTGGGTCACGGGAGACGTCAGATGCATACTAGCCTAGAGAAGAGGCACAGAACTATCTCAGATAAATCAGGATAGGTGCCGTCTGAGCTTCGGTTTAAAAAAGTGAAATCAACGCTGTAATCAAAGTTCAAGTTTCTATCGGTTTGGAATAAATAACACGACTACCCAAAGTGGGAATGCGAAAATCGCGTTATGCCACATCAACGGAGCAGGAAGCTGTCCGAACAACTACAGCAGCTATCCCACCGCCCTCCATCCGGCCCGACCTCTCCCACCCTCACCTGCTCCGCGCAGTGCCGGTACACCGGGACTGTTCTCATCGGCCTCCCTCTCCAGCCGCTTTTTGACGAGCTCCCGGCGCTGGTCCGAGGGCCGCGACCGCACCGCGTTCGGGTCCGTCTTCTTCAGCGGACCGGACTTCTTCAGGAGCGCCAACGCGCGAGCCTGGAGAGCAAAAACAAAGGAGGCCAGGTAGTGAAACATTCGCAGTATAATAGTGCGAGCGTCTGATTTCATCCTTCCTTTTCATCTCTTCTTCAGACCAGATTCGTTAGAACATCAAGAAGCAGCACTGAGTGACTAAGATTAGTCTGTCGGGGAGACCACCCGTTTCCTTCGCTCTCCAGCGCCCCGCCCGGTCTCCGTTCGCACCTTAGCGGCGGATCCGGCCACCGCTCTCTGCTGCGGGCTAACGTCCAGATCCACCGTCTGTCCGGGGGTGACGTGGCGCGCCAGCCGCGGCGCCGCCAGCGCTTTCTCGGCGACCCGCCGTCGCGCAGCCTCCTCCCTCAGCATGGCGGCGGGATCGGCAGCCGTACGGCGCGCAGGGCGCGGCTCGGCCAGGTCCGTGGAAGTCGACTCGGTGGAGTCTTTGGTGAGGTGGCGGAGCAGGTTACGAGCGCCGGCACATGGCTTCAGCAGGAGTTCACCCCTGGGGGAGAGAGGAACAGCGGTCACCGGAGGATTGCCATGTTATAAGAGAAGGGGAGAGAGAACTGCGATCAGATCATATGTATTGGCCCATGACCATTTACTAAGCCCATAGAGACTCTTCCAATAAATATACCCAATAATCAAGCCTTGAATCACGTCGACTGGTGGATACACTGATGCATCGCTCTTACATCTCCATACTGTCCTCTGCTACGTTGGCAATGGCTTTGGCCTCCGCTTGGGAAATGTGCTTCAGGCCTGCCGTGTCCAGCTTTTTCTTCTTGGTGTTCAGAGTATCCTCACACTGCGGAACGAACGAAGGCAGTCAGGATGGGTCAGTATGGTGACAGTCCGGGTGTGGTGCACGTTACGGGCATGAGAAACTGTCACGCGAACGATATGGATTAGTGTTTTCCGACCCCATCGTCAGCTCGTCTTCTGACAGTAGCCCGCTCCCTCCCTTGCTCTCAAGCAAATGTCTCAAGTCCAGTCAACCAGTAGTCCTTATATAGCCGCTCTCTCCCAAGCTATTCACTGTCCCAACCTCCTGAGTCATCTGTAGTTTGATTTACCTGTTTCTGTAGCCGCAGACTGGTGAGTCGCTCCCTGTCTTTGAGCCGCTGAGCGGCCGTCTCTGAGTCTCGCCGCGCCAGAGCGCCGCCGGAAAAGGCGCCCTCGTGGAGAATCTGGCCGCCCGCACCGCCGACACCCCCGCCCAGCGGCTTCTTGGGCGCCACACTGCTCACACCCTGCACAGTGATCGAGTGACGTGAGTCCTGGGATTGGTGGAAGGACACAACAGCCAGTGGACAGCGGAGACAGAATGGTAGCAGATGAACGAGGAGTCCAAATGGTTAGCGGACACAAAATTGATTCACACACCGAATGATTGCAAGACCAGTGAAATTAATCGTTATCAAACAGCAATCTAAGGAAACAAAACCAGGCTTATAAACATTTATCACTCAAAAATATTCAACGCTGCTCAAGTAGCCATTCAAGCAAAACAATATTCAACGCTGTTCAGGTAGCTATTCAACCAGCTCTGAGTGCTGAAGGAAGTGGCTGCGCTCACCTGAAGTTCGCCCCGCTTTGATCCGGTCTTTTTGTACTCGGCAGTCATATGAAATACACACACGGGACAGTGACGCTTGTTGATGAAACTCAGACAGATACGGCCGTTCTTACACCTGGGAAATTATGAATGTCAGTCAGCATCGTGCGAAGGGCAAGTTTCCGATAACGCTTCCATGGTTCACCTTTAGGACAGACAAATCATTTTTATAAAAACAAAACAATGAACAGTAACTATCTTCTGAAGAAGAAGAATGAGGGTTCTACTTCTGATCCGAACGAGTTTTGATTCGCCGTCAGTCCTTACTTTGCCTTGCAGAAGTCGAGATCGGGCGACGTGCCCAGCATAATACAGTGTTTCCCTGAGACGACTGAGATCGTGATGCCCGTACTTCCAGACATCTCCCTGAAAAACAAAAAGTGGAACGGTGATGTTGCTGATTTGATTGCGAAGCAAACAGCTGATACAGAACATGGTAACGGCAACTTCGAACTAGGAGCCAACCGTTCTCAACCTTTCGAACCGTGTGCCTTCTCGTAGATAATCGTACAGTTAATGGACCAGCCGTTGTCATGCTATCGAAGTTATCGGCTCTCTGAATGGTGTCGTCTCATCCCAGGATCCCTTATCCCTGTGCCTGAGGTCACGTCCTAATTGCCCTTCCACAGATCACTTACTTGTCCTTCATGACCTTGCTGTTGGCGAGTGCCACCACAGTGCCCACGGTGGTCTTCCATAGGGCCGAGTGGGCCTCGCCAAACAGCATTACTTTGACCGGCTTCTGGACGTCCACCAGATCGGTCAGCGTCCACGACGAGTAGGCCGAACCCTGCAGATCGGAAACGGGATGAATGTGAAACAGAAGCGTACGTGAGATCACGTGGAAAACGTACGGTAGGGTTCGAGAATGACGCAGGCGACAATGGAAGTTTTTGGATGCGGTAAGGCATAAGGATATGAGCACTAAGAAAGAACGTACATTTCAGCACATTACGTAAATGGCCATACTTTGCCGACCACATGCACATTAATTCCGCCAGGCATCGTCCCTCTTAAACCAACTTCTTTCGTTACAGGCGTGGGCATTCGTCAAACGTCTCCTACCTACCTTCTGCGATGTGCGCGGGTCGGACTTGCGCGCGATGACGCCAATGGTGACCCAGTCACCGGGGATGCCGTCTGCTCGCACGTTGCTCTCCAGCTGACTGACGCGGATCAGACGCTTCCCCTGAAGACAGTCGCGAAGCTCGATACTGGTGAGGCGAGGATTGCTGCCGACGGATAAAGGGAGAGATGAGGTCAGCAGCAGACAGCACAACTTTGATAGACAGGTCACTGAACAAAACCGCGGCCTTGTAAAAATGTTAAACAAAGTAAACCGTAGAGCAAATCGTACGAATAAATCATAAGAAATGGTACAGTGCGATGCAGACGTGGAAAGACCACATTGATCATCAAAATAAAACATTTCTATTATATTTTAAACTTTTTTCTGAGCTATGACTTTAGATGATGAGGTCAAATCCTCCCACAATTTCAGTGGACAGTCTAACCGCCAGCTGTAAACACGTCCCCTTCCCCTCTCACTACTCACATGACACTGATTTTTGCGAACGAGTCGATCATGATTTCCTCATGCGGCTGCTCGGGCACTGCCGGCCGGCCACCGTCCGCTTTCTTGGCCGCCGTTTTGGGTTTCAGCGCTCGCTGTGCGGCCCGGTTTACGTGCTCTGCGCGCTCCTGAAGCCGGTCGCGGCCGGTACCGGAGGCGGACGAGTGGGCGATCCGTTTGACGGTGCGTCCGAACTCGTTGTAGCGCTGCTCGAACGGCTGCCGGTTGTCCTCGTCCTCGCTGGAGTCGGTGTCACCGCCGTGCACCTCCGAGGCGGGCCGCCGCAGCATGGCTCGCACCCGCTGCTCCAGCGAGGTACGCTGAGAGGGCGGCAGCTCGGCAGGCACCACTGTCGATGGGACGATGCCGGTGGTGTCTAGGAACCGCGATTTGTTCGGCGTTGGAGGTTTCTTGATTTTGCTAACGACATCCTGCAGGGATTTCGGAGATTGTTTGGATTGTTTCTTCTGCTTTAGTTTGGCAAGTTTCGCTTCCAGCGCGAGGATCTCTGATTCATCAGGATCGTCAGGATCATCATCTTCAGCTGGGGCTGTCGACGGAATCCTGGGAGTCTCCTCATCTGACAGGGCCAGATCAGATGCCACAGTATGTGATGCCCTGTCTGGCTCACCAGAATAAGCTGCACTGATGTTAGACTGTGGAGGTGTGGAACTGCTCGCACCCTTCAGATTGGTAAAGCCAGTAGTGGTGTTTGATGTTGAAGCTACAGGACTTCTGGGTTTCTGAGAAACGTCCTTGGTCTGCTGGCTATTAGAGGAAGTTGATTTTGAACCACCTTCATCCCCTCCAGAAGCATCCACCATGGCAAACAGCTCATCATCATCTTCATCAAGCAGAGCTGCAAGATCCTCCAGATCCAAATCTGCAAACAATATATTTGGTTATGCCCATTATGAAACATCATTGTATAGCTACAACCTGCATAGCTACAGGGGCATCTATCACGGAAAATATTCAGCCAGTTGGAAATACAACCTCACCTCAATTTTAACCTCTCAATATTTGAAAGCAAATGCATCCCTCTCCAGTCTCCAGCTTTAACCTACATATTACATATGCCCATGATGAGCTGTTTTCAAATAGAGTAACATTTTTAGAAAACAGCAATTTCAAGATTAATTTTATTTCAAGGTTTATGAAAAATTATTATTTCTCCTGACAATACACTTTTAATGGTGATTAATTCTTCCTTTCGGAACCTTGTCAGGTTAGATTAGGTTTTGTTATTTCTGCTTGTAGCATACCTGACTTTTTTAGCAGTAAATTAATATATGAACAATTTTCTAGGTTGATATATGGTTTGTGAGTACATGCTATGGTTTTTATTTGATTTTGAGCCTATGATGCAAAAGAAGGATTTCACCCTTTTAACTGCCTGCTTCACATTTCATAGTTCCAATGCATTTGAAAAGTGTTTAACTATGGTCTCTTAAAACATGCATTGAAATTCATACTTACTTTCATCTTCCATGCCTGCGGGATCTGATTCAGCCTGTAAAACGAGGGAATGGTGTCAACATCGGTCACAGCCATGAGGCCGTCACAGCCAAAGCTGCTGAGGAAATCAGACACTGTGGCAAGGTGGTAGCTTACTGGAAGATTTCTGAGCATGGTGGCAATTTAACTGAAATATTCAGAGGTCTCGACGTTGACCGATTTTTACCTATGGGGCATTACACAGGACATCCACAGGCAAGAGTAGCAGTGCAGTTGATTCAGTCAGCAGCATAACACCGTTTATCTCTTTCAAATGACTTTTGAACTGTGTGAATGGATATAATTCTGATAGAATATTGATAGTAGTGCTTAGTTCTGAGCAAAAATTACCATACTTATATCAAATCTGCCTTTTATTGCACCGTCCAACTCCCACGACACACAGAAATTAAATGCCCGCCTGCGCCACTTTCTGTAATCTCGCGCCAAAAGCCCCCTAAAATCTTATTGAAAGAAGCGGCCAGCAATTTAATTTTACTTATGAATAGGCCATATAAAAGCCGAAAGAGCTGTTATTTTCGTTATTTCACACAACTCTTGCGGCTGTCGGCTCAAGATATATATCGTCATCGAACTGCATGAATGAAATCGAATCTGTTAGTAATAGACCTGGGCATTTCACAATCTGTGAACCCAAAACGCAGCTACGACACAGTAATGGATCACAAGCCACCCCAATGCATGAGTTACTTCCGTAGACGGGTCCCTTGCTGTTATTAGACCGACCAGCAGTTATACGGTACGGCCTTGATCATCTCGTGGTGCAACAAGCAGTCCCATAGCTCCTTGGCACGTGTATTACGAAAGGCAGGAGGCAATAATTACACTTTTCATTACAGTCGACTTCTGCCCGGTCAATGGCAATTCGGTACACACAACACGTAAACGATAAAACCGCACTCTGCAGTTCATATGGTTCGTATTTCACTGTTATCCTGGAGGCATGCCTTTGCGTGACAAGGGCACCTGAACTTTTTATACAATTAAATGATAAAACGTCACACCTCTTACTTTACCGCCCCAAAACAACGTCCTCGTAACATAAAACAGTAACGAAACACACAAAGCAGACAACCGAAAACACAACACAGCTGGCACGCTCAGTTAAGTGGCTACTGAAGACTAGCGGCTAAATCTCGTCGGATATAAGCCATTCTGGTCATTCACTCCTAGCTCAATGTCACAAACTTATTGACTGTTTATAATTCACGTGCTCATGACAATTCGCGACGAATGGACGGTTCACAAAGTGCATTCATTCATGGCATTATGCTTAAACATTCACGATATGTGAATGTTTAAGCATATGCCAAATGCCAAATTCACGATACGCTTAGATCGAAATCGTTGGAATCCGCGGTGCAAGATGTTCTTCACCATTCAGTTCTCACCTCTCAATCTTAAGTTTTTTTTTTCGATTGACGCACCGGACCGAGTGGGCAGGCACAAACGGATTTATCGACACAGACCCAGCTGTCAAGCATTCGATTGTCATCAAAACTCGAGGCTCACAGCTGCACGCACTGCACACCTTCACAGCTTGGACCCTCAGAGGCGTATCCTTTAAACCAGGCACAATGGTGGAGGGAAGCAATCTGAAGGCCGACTGACAGCGTCATTGTTTTTATTGCCTCACGTTCCCGCAGTCATTCAGCTTCTTACATCGTCAATGAGTACTTTTGCTGACGAGCATTTGGTCACTCTGTTGAAGCTGGCGAAGCTTTACGGTCGACGACGATCATCTTCAGCGAGAGGATCATCCCACCTCGGTGAATATTGTCTTGATAAGATCTCGGGCGCTACTCGTCACCATCGGCGCAACTTAGCACAGGCGGGCACAGGAGCTGCACCAGTCATCTCCTAGTGAGAACGGTGCACCAGGTGCTGAGCCTGGTGCAGCAGAGCCGACCTCAGAGTCGCCTCACCATCGGTTTGGCCGTGTGTCGTTCGTGGTCCCGTTCAGCATCGCTCCTGTGGACCGAAAAAAAAAACGGGTTGGAACAGCGGTAACATACGCAACATTTGCTTGTCAGCGAATCACTGCATTTAGCGGCGACAAAACTGATAAGATCGATATGTAATTCTAATTACTCCTTTTCCGTAGTATATATAAGTCACCATTCTTTCGCCAATCGACTTCATCTCCTGATATAGTCTGACACACTCCGAAGCGCATATTTCCGATCAAAAGGAAGAGATAATTAGATCTTCTCCAACCACATTTCACACAAGCCATCTCCATTTCCGGGGCCAACCTACTACTCCTCCCCCCCCCCTCCCGCGGCCCACACCGTATCAAACATATCATATCAAACACATCCCACTAACCGTCACTGAGGTATTGTCTCCGTTTCCCTGTGCCTCTTCGGTAGGGTGCCAGAGCTCGGCAGCAGTGGTAGAGCGACAGGTAGAGCGCCGCGCACACGGCAGAGAGGATGGAGCCGGCACAGAGCACCACGAACGGGGAGAAGAGCGGCAGAACGTACCGGACCACACCGGCGCCGACACCGCGACCTGGGGTCAGGGGTCAGAGGGTCAGAGGTGAACGGGTCACACTGCGACCTTAGCACGGGTCACAAGGAGAGGGGGCAATCAGGGTAAACGGTCGACACTCACGCCACCTGAGCGAGGTCAAGCAGTTGCAAAAAAAAAAGTAATAAAAAGAGTGGGTAAGCGAGCAGCTGAGGATGCGTCGTGGCCAAAGGCATCTGACAAACTCGATCATATAAACCGACTGAAACTGCCAACGGTATCAGGCATGTAAGGATCACCGCGTTGCCGATACACACATAATAAATTACAAAATAACACGTGATGAGTGGCACTTCGGAATATCTCCCTGACCCCGCCGTCCCTCACTCACCGACCCCGAAGTGCGCCACAGTAACGGCGGCCTGCAGTGTGGCCTCGACCACCGGCCGGCCGTGCAGCGAGCTCAGCTGAACGGCCGACAGCCACGCCAGGTGTACGGTAAACATCTCCAACGACTCGGCCACCAGCAGCAGCCACGCGCTGACGATGTACGCGTAACCTGGCAACGTAAAGTACGGTTAATATCTCCAACGACTCGACCACCAGCAGCAGCCACGCGCTGACAATATACGCGTAACCTGGCAACACACAGTACGGTTAACATCTCTAACGACTCGGCCACCAGCAGCAGCCACGCGCTGACAATATACGCGTAACCTGGCAAAAAAAGAGTACGCTGTACGGTAAACAATCGGATCAGCCACCAGCAGTAGCCAGTAGCAGCATGACGCACTATCAATGCATGCGGTCGCGCATCCTGGCAAGATGTATGCAAACGACTTGGTTGCCAACAGCAGCGAAATACCGGACATAGCAGGCGCAACGAGAAAACGGAGAACAATCACCCATTGTTGACAGATGCATATTTAAACGAATGAATGCATCCCATCCCTTGATCAATTTTGAATAGAATCAACTCAATGACAATAGCTGAATCGTTTGCCTTCACCGTGGCGGGAGAAAGAAGAAACCGCTCCAATAACAAGCAGAACAATATAATTGACACAGCTGGGGACCGAATGCAAAACCAACCGGTCCTGAATTCGGATATGATCCGGATGATCAGTTTCAGTTCGGCCCTCTATAGGACGACCATGGGAGCGGTATGGTCTAACGGGCTCGGTTCCGCCTCATTCCGACCTCCACGTGCCGTGAATAGACAGCGAGCCGGCCGCCGGGCGCCGGTAATAGATAGTGCGCCGCATTCACGGCATTGATTGGAGCGGGACGGGCGGCTATTCCGACCGCACTGCCGGCCTCTGTCTATTGTGTTGGATCTTATTAACATGACAGTAGGTCGGATGTATCGCGGGCGTGATGAAACGGCTGGTAAATTTAAATCAGAGCGGTTCGGATCTGTCAGCGCTTTATACTGGAGCTGTACGGAGCATGCCGTCTAATGGTAGTAAGAGAAGCGCTAATATCGTTACATTACCGGCTACTGAATTCGCTGATATTGCATGAAGCTGTCGCTGTGCAAATGCGGTACGAGCGACTTTAGCGGGCGTCATTTGGGGCGAGCGTCATTTGAGCGAACCTGCAAATGGGCTATGACAGAAGTCGAGATTTTACCCGAATTATATATGAGCTATCGAATTATCTGGGCATCAGAGGTAGAATTAACTGGATTTTACGACAAGTATCGGTTTAGCCAGTCTGTCCTCGCCCCATTGTTTTCTACTTACTGACGTATCTGACGATGTAGACGATGAAGGCCACCATGAAGACGTGGTGATGCCCGCAGTAGGCAATCAGAGCCTCCGCCTTCGCCATGAGCGGTATCAGGAGCAGCGCACCAGCAGTGGTTCCCAGACCAGTCTGCAGATGTGAGCCACCCATACCGCTCGCGTGTCCCGCCAGGAACGTCTCCAGGAAGCCCCAGAGAGCTCCCAGCACCGCCAGCGCGCAGAGCACGCCGAAAAACTCAGCAGCGCAGACGGAGCGCGCCAGACGACGGCTGTACTCTCGCGAGTCGTGTGCCACGCCCGGGCGAACGGTGACGAGTGCTGCTAGGGTCAGCGCGGCCAGTAGAAGAGCCGCGTAGGCGCAGAGGCCGGGACGGAGGTCGGGTGAGCCATCCGCGGTCCGCTGGGTGTCCAACAGGTAGCCGGTGAGCGGAGCGGTGATGGCCAGCCCCAGCAGCCCCCAGAGCGCCTCCCGGCCGTGGTCAGAGCCGTGCCGCCGGCGGAGCAGCAGTGTGGTGGCCGAGACTAGCACCAGAGCCAGTGAGAGGAACGACTCAGCGGCGGCGCGCAGACCAAAGTACAGCCAAAAAGTCATCTGGGGGTCACCCAGCACGGCGCGGCACTGGTCGTCACGGAACAGCGGGGCACCACTCAGCTGCTGTAGGTCACAGTGCAGCGCGCAGCCCGTCTGACGACCGCAGGCTAGGCTGCGGTGGCGCCGCTCGCCGCGACTGAACTCGATCAATGGATACTGACAGTCCTGTGTATCCTGGCTGTTTTCACCAGCCGGTAATACCGTCAGTGAGGCGTTTACCAGGATACCGGCGCCGTCCGACACTACCTCACACTGCGTGGGCTCACTGGTGCCTTCCAGACAGAGGTGTGGTGGCACAGACGGCGGCTCGGTGTCCTCCTCGCACCGGTACCGACACCCGTGGATGTAGTACGCCCGCTCAGTCCTGTCTCCATCCACACACGCTGGTCCACACCGCTCCACATGAATCTCCGTCCCGTCCGGGGCACAGCGCAGCTCCAGGGCGGCGGGTCGCGCCGGCAGTCTCTGCACGGGCGGCACCAGCAGCAGGCAGGGGTAGGCGGCGGCGGCGACCAGCAGAGCCAGCACCAGCAGCGGGCGGTAGTTGCCCATCCTGTCGGCCAGCACAGCGCCCAGCAGCGGGCCGACGCCGCAGGCCAGCGGCGCCACGAACTCCACCCAGCTCCGCTCGTCGGCCGTCAGGCCCAGGCTGGCCATGTGCAGCGAGAGAAACGGCACCACGCACCCGATGGCTGTGAACAGAGAGTTAACGACAGTCAGACCCAGGCTGGCCATGTGCAGCGAGAGAAACGGCACCACGCAGCCGATGACTGTGCAGATAGAAAACGAGAGGGCAGTCAGACTTAGGCGGTCGGGGTGAGCAGACGGGAACGGTGGTGTGTACCCGATGGGGTGCAAACGGATATTCGGCGATGGTCGGAGTTGGACAGAACGGCAGATCCAAGTAAAGACATTGGAATGGGCAATTTTAAGAAAGTTTATGGACAGAAAAGCGAAAGTGACGGCTTTAAAAAGATAGGGCGTTAAACCGTCCATGAGACGGTTCGGTAGGAAATCGCACCAAGGACCGATACCACGGTGCGAACCAAAGCAATTTTGGCATTCATCCCGAAAAGGTGAGCAGGGATGGAAGCAATGAGTTGTCTTTCTAGAAAAAAAAAACATTTCCAAAGAAATCTTGGACACACGGCACAATTCGTTCAGGTTGGTCAGATTAATCGCTCAAACAACTTACCTCCATAAAAGGCGAAGAGCATCACCCGGAGGGGCACCAGCGATGTATTGCAGGAGGCCATGGCGTCTCCTCCTGTCAATACTTCACACACCGCTCTGTTTTCTTATTCTTCCCTCACTGTCCGACACTTCTCACTCCTGCCACCGCTCTCCCGTCGACGGGACGCAGCCGTCGCCACAGCCGTCCGGCCGGTCGGGCGGCCGGCACACTTGTGCGTCCCCCGTCCCCGTCCCGTCCCGTCCCGGGGAGTGGCCGGCGACCGGCCGATCTGGGACGCACCTGTGAACAGAGCGGCGGGCCGGCCACTGTCGGCACTGCACGCGGCGCGACACACACACATCGATCACCAGGTGTCCGGCAGCGACTCTCCCGGCCGCCGGTGGGGCTTCGGGGGCTCCGTCTGAGCTGCAGTCTGACAGGCGGCTCCCCGGGACGGCCTGCAACCTTGGCCCCCGGCTCCCGACTGGCGCCGCTCGGAGCTGGCAGCCGGCCCCGGTATACATGACGGACCCGATGCCAAACATTGCCGGCGGCTTGTTTAGCAATGTGGAGATAAATCAGACGATGCCGGCCCTAACAGCATACTAAGCTGCATCAAGCAGCATCAACATAAATAATATCGCTCTTCAATTTCGCTTTTCAGTCTCCGAAAGGCGAATGAGTACTTTGAGTAATGACATAGACGATGCCATACTTTCAACTTACTATGAAAAAATTCAAAACCTATTGCAGGAAATGCACACCAATCACGTACCAACCCTAGTAAACAAAACAATGGTTATTGTGTTGCAAAACAAAGGAATCTGTCACTGATTACCATTTAAATCGCATGCAATCATCTCTCCAGTGCCACGCCCAGCACCATCGCCAGAGGAACTAATTCATCTCCCCGACCACTGACAGCCAAACGACGGAACGAATCACCTCAGACGTCACCGGATAGCAGCCAACGACAGATTACTCGGACAGCTGTTGACAGACGGCCGATGGGCCCGGCACGAGGATGACAGACAGCTGACGTCAACTGACACGCGTTTGTGAGACGAGATGGACGACAGACGACTGAGTAACGATCGCTCAGGAGCTCGTGAGAGGAGACGACAGAGTGGCTCATGGGTGACGATCGACATCGACGACTAACGATCTGGGATCGTCGATAGCACGCCGTCGACGGCCCACCTGCCATCAGAGAAGGCCCCACACGCCTGCGGCCTGCGATTGGAAGATCCCAGTGCCAAACTGACGGCAAGCTAAGTGCTAACGGCCGGTGACTGAGGTGTGGCAAGGGCACCGCCAGGGAGGGAATGAGGGAGGAGTGGATGGCATTGGAGGTCAAATTCCGAGCAAGAGAAGGCAGAAGCGACACCTGGAGGTCTGATTCGGGGAGTGGTCAGACCCAACGAAATCCCGTATAAACTATCAAAATTTAGTAATAAATAGTTCGTTGCAAGTACGAAGAAGAAAGACAAGGACCAAATATGATTCCTACCATGGTTTGTTTGACCGTGCAGTCAAAATCAGTAGGCCCTTTTCTAGCAGCAAAGGTGCAGTAATCTAGCGGCCTTGAGCTTTTATTCGCCCTAGGCCCGGCACGCAGCTTGCATGAACTCAATGCAATCAGCCCTCAAAACTATTTGAGTGGTCACATGACTAGTGACTTGCGCTCTATGTATGTGACAAATGGCGAGTGCGTCTACTGAATGGCCACGCTTCCAATGTCGAATTGCCTGGACAAATCCACCGGGAGCACGCCCTCATAATGCATGGCAATCACTCGAGGCCATGGTGACCTCGTCTCCCCTCCTTATCCCCTCCTCCCCGACCTCCGACGGAATTCCATTGCAATGTCCCTCTCCCCCTCCCCCTCCCGAGACCTCGACGCACAATGGGTGACGGGAGCGCGCCACCCAGTCCAGTTGGCCCGTGGCCCTGCGTTCCTCTCCTCTGTGACTCGGTGCAGCCAACAGTTGATCGTCAAATCCGTGCCAAATCGGAATACCACGGGATTGACCCTGACGACCGGAATAGGACACGTTGATCAGATGATGAAGGGAGTGGAAGGCTGGTCTGCTGTGAGAAAGTCCCAGCCTTCTGTCCAACTGTATAACGAGGATGTGACGGCTGAGACAGGATAGACGGTTCCCTCCGTCATAACGATAGGACCGTCGTACCTTACAGTGACTCAAACCGGTCAAACGGCCACAGAGCAAAGTAAACGTCGCCGAAATCTGACACCGGTTCCTATTGATTGGAGAAGCACTATGAGTGTGGTACAGCTATTTATTAGGATTTTCTGTGAGCTTTCAGAATGTATTCGTGGTCCAGACGTGACATAAGCTGGTCTAAGAGGATTAGGCTGTCTGTCACACGGAATCGGGAGGGGAAAGTCAGGACGTTATATGACGACGCTGCAAAACTGGGCCCGAATCGACGGGGATTGGGCCGTCGGTACGGCAATAAGTAACCGTCCAACGACGGAGCCACACCGGAGACTCAACAGTTGCAATTATTCGGAAGAGTCTTAAAATATGTACATCTGAGGCCAGTTTTACCAACAGAAAAATCGCCGCCTGCCGGAATTTTTTGTCTAAAGACCGCTTCACATACAGAACGTAAATGCGATGGGCACGTAAGCGGATAGGGCTTTACCGTTTATGCTCTGTAAGTGAAGCAATCTTTAGGCAAAAAAAATCCGGCAGGCGGCTATTTTTCTGTTGGTAAAACTGGCCTCAGGTCTAGTCACCATCGAGGACATCAATAGGAAGGATAGCCCGCCCTCTGACGCCCCACCCCAGCGGTAAAACTCTCCCCTCAGATCCACATGCAGCACACGGCGTCTTACAGCACACTGCACACTGGCCCGATAGCCACGCTGGCTGGCCGACGGGAACGGGCGGATGTGGGGACGGGTAGGGGAGATGGAACGCGTGTCGGCCGTGTCCCTCTGACAATCGCCGGCGAATTAATTGGCGACATGCCATCCACCCTGTCTGTTTGTCGGCGTTTCCTGCCGGCGCAGAACAATGGGCTCGATCGCGAACATACAGTCAGGCAGAGCGCAGGGCGGGACCGGGACATCACGGTTTCACGGATAGGCGGACGAACGGATGGGGGCGGATGGGGAGACGGAAATTTACGAACGAACGGGACAAGATTCAAGGAATAATGATTGAGGTCCCTGAATGAATAAGCCAATGATGGGGAAAAGATCTGAGGAGGGACGAAAATCAATGGAACACATTGAAGAATAAGCGAACCGAACGGTAAAACGAGCAAACCAACGAATGAACGACCAACCGAATGAAGGAATCAGTGAACAAACGATTCACAAAGACAGCATGAAAGATTTTCGTGCAAATGGAAGGATGGAGAAATAGTGATCTGCTCATAAAACCGAAATTCCTCTCAGACAAACCTCAGAGCGATTCTGAGGCAACATAAAAACAAGAAGTTACAATATTAAATCACAGCTGACTCCAGAGACTGGCTAGGTGGCGCGGCGGACGCTCACACGCGTCAGGAGATGTCAGCACAATAGCGAAACAGCTCCCTCGACCGACGCCCAACACGCTTGGTTTGTTTGCAAAATGATCTATGAACTTAAAAAAAAACATGAAAATTCACCAGCTTATTCAAGTCAAGCACCTCACATGCTACCCCAGTGCCACTCATTTCTTCAGGGCTCATGTTATGGATTGAGTCCTAGTCCTAGGCTCTACATAGTGTTGCATGGTAAGAACGTTTACATAGCCTTGGTAAGAACCAAGGCAAGAAGAACCATTAGACCCCCTAGTCCTACCCATAAATTTTGTAGTGACGCCGGAGGTCAAGCCTCATAAGATGACAGGTCGCTGAAGCATGAATCAATGATAACTACAAAGAATTGTGCATGAAATGGTCGCAATCATTTTGATACATACGATAGATAAGGGCCGTAAACGATAAGCAGGCATGGGATCAGTAGCGGCGAAACACCGGGGGGGGGGGGGGGGCACTGCCGACTTTTGGTGCCATTCTTTCCATGCAACGCCCATAGGGCTAATGTTAAAATGCCAAAATCGAAGGGGGCACGGTGCCCAGGTGCCCTCCCCGTTCCGCCGCCTATGCATGGGATCGGCGATGCGGTTGATGTCTTGGTCCTTGGACGATGGAAATTGCTTTGAAGGTCAATGGCCATGAACACAGCAGATATTTTACTCTATGGCCGTGACTGTGAGGTAATGATTTCAATTGAGAAAAAGGCATTAAAAGGCCGGGACAGGCGCTTACCGTCGGTCGTAAAGATGGATGAGTATGAAAATTAGCTGAACACCCAACTATATCCAACTTCAAGAAAATCACCAATTACATTCGCAGTTTCAAAGTGCTTCACATGCCTTTTTAGTTTGATCTCATACGTCAAGATAGCAATCTCCTCTCCAGCAACTATATCTTAAAGTAAAGCGTGGCATTGGTACCATAAAACGCAAACAATATGGATATTGGATAAGCTTATAAAAAACGAAAATCTAAAATGATATATCGTCCATGAACGAGAGAATCCAAGGACTTGGCCCAAACTTGACCCGGGACAGCCACGTGTTGATCATACGCCGGGCCAACGCCAGGCGCCGACGACGGTCAGTTGCCATAGTAACGGCACATGGTCACGTGACGACGCTTTGCGCCGAGACCAAATCGGATCGATGGCCGCGCGCTGGAGCCGTGGTGCGCTGCGCGTGTTGGTCATATTCGGGCAGATGGTGAAGTATTACAGCCGACTTGTGTGAGGGAAGGTGGTGCTTGTTCGCCTGGTGAATCTACACGGTGAAGCGACCACCCGAAGCATAAAAATCGCCGCTGACCACCGACGGAAGGAAAGCACGCTGTGTTGAAAAGTGCAAGCACGACAACGTGGTTTGTAAACAATCGAGAAAGTATTTGAGAAAAAAAAACTTCGCCGAAATGCTTACGGCAAATCAGTGACCTCATATTACTCACATTTTTCAAACAATGGCGGTTGCGGTGGCACTGGCAGGCCTGGTGACCGTGCTCGTCCAAGGAGCAGTCTCCGATTCATCCACCTGCAACAATCAGGTTGGTTTGTCATTTATATATTACCCCAATCCAGTATCCACCACCTATAATTACGCATTGGGTGCGATGCACATAGACTTCGCACGAGAACGACTAACGAGTAAATGTCGGTCGGAGATGGAATAGCTGCATTATGCATAGCATGGAAAGAATAGTAGAAATGCTATGACAAGCAAAAGGTCACGAGAGGACTAATGCTATAAGACCATGCTATAGTGAGAGCGAGAGCCTAGAAGTAGGAGAATCGGTTCGCTGCTGATAATTATGCTGCTGGTCTGCTTATAGTCCTAACATCACCACTGTATGTGCTTCATTTCAGACGGGTTTTCGGTATCAGTTCACCGAGTGTGATGAGTCCGGTGGTCGGTGGCGAGTGTCTGTCCCCTCGGCGACCGCGTGCTTCAACAGTCCGCCGCCGCCGCCTACCCGGGTCAGCGACTGCAGTAAGTCACACTTTGATCCAATCCATCTGTGTTCTGGTTCAAGTTACCCGGGTCAGGTCAGCGACTGCAGTAAGTCACACTTTGATCCGTCATATGTGTTTCCATCCAGGTCACTCGGGTTAGCGACTGCAGTGTCACTCTTTCATCTGTGTCAGTGTCGCTTAAGATCACTCTGGGTATCAACTGGTTTATGTCCCTCTGAGTGCTCTGACACACCTTTACATACGTACCGGCTTCAGCTCAGATTATGCGGTCAGCGAAGTACAGGTTCACAGTGTACAGGTTCGCCTACATGCGCTGGTTCAAACAAACAAACGGCTGAACGGTCGACGGTCCAGGTCATCTGGGCCAGCGACTACAGCAGGTAATCCCTCTAATCTGCATTCATGAAGCGGCGCTGACTCAGGTCAACATGGTCAACGACTTATCGGCCCGAGTTCACCGGTCGGCAAGAAGTCCCTCTGATTGGCCCGGATGTTCGGGTCCAGCCTAAAACACACGGGCGCGATTCGCACCTCGGGAGATGCGACAGCAGATGCGAACTGCGGAATGAGCATTATTCCTGTTACAAAGGTGACGAGAGTGACGGTACAGCTCTTGCGAGATTAAGCGGTAGGTTTTGCACTTTTACATTTCCGGTTATATCTCCGATACTAATCGATCTACGATGAAGCCATTTTCCACGATCATGTCCGGCTTGTGAACCAACAAGTCGATCGCATCTTCAACACTTAAAAGACGACGAAGATATAGCCTGAAGTACACTAAATTTTCTAGGTGCAAAACCTACCGCTAAAACCCGCGAGACCTGTACCTTATTGAACGTGATTATAGGTCATTGCTCGTCAGATCGGTTTTGCAGGCTGTGCGAGGCTTTATGACTGTCAGCTTTCCTCCCATTAGGCATTAGTTATATTCCTGTCGACACAATGAATGTTTGAAGCCGATTGTCTGTCATACTAATATTCGGCTTACCCGCTGTCAGAAGTAGTCTAGATCCGTTAATTTAGTAAAATAAAATTCAAGAACATCTGTAGTGAAGAGTCCCATAATGCTGGAACAGTTGTCTCTTAGAGCACCATTAGAGCGTCACATTAGCCCAAAACTACCCGTTTCTGCGAGCGGCACTGGCTGTATGTTCCAGCCCGCCCCCGCGGGGTCAGCTAGCCGCCGCGCCGGTCAAACGAGCCGGCTCGTTTGGATCAAAGTGGTCCATTTGGGCGCCCAACGCGGTTAGTTAGCGGGCCTGCCGGGCGGACAGAGCCCCCGCTGGGTAATTTGTCCGCCGCTGGAACCAGCTGCTCGGCTGTCTGCAGTGTGGGCTGCCGGTGCCGGCTGGGTCGGGCAGGTGGGTCAGGGTGTACCGGCGGGTCAGCCGACCCGTATAGCCTCCCCCGACCCCGCTGGTAGCAGCACGGCGCTGCGCCCGGTGCGGGCCCGGCCCGATCAATGTACCGGCTGAACCGGGTCGGTGGCGGTGCTCGAGCGGCGCGCACGGCGCATCCCCGCACCTTATCAAAACCTCCCCGCCTCTCTCAGCCTCCGTCCAGCAGAGATTCCATTCCGGCTGCGTTGGGAAACGACACGGGGAGGCGGTGGAATATATGTAAACGAAGCCGAGATGTGTGTGACAGAGACGTGTCCGTATTGAGGTACATAGACTGAGAGACATTTCCGAGTGGTGGAGCAGAGACGAGGCAGAGAGGTGTTGACTGTTATGTTCGTGATTCACGGTTCGAGTGAGAGAGAGCTTAAGAGAAACGCGATTTATTTACTGCCGGTGCGAATGGGCCGAGAGAGTCCTCCAAAAACTAAACAAGTATGGCGAGCGCCACGCCTAGTCGCCCGCGCCAGTCATGCCGCTTGGCGCGCACGATCAGCTGAGCGTCGGCAGGGGCGCTCCCAGGCACACAGAGGTGGGGCCGCAGAGGCGGTCCAAGTACACACCCCCTATACCCGAACACAACATCCCCCCTCGAGACAACAGTCGTCAAAAACACACAAAAACACAACAATGCACGACGTTGTCTCACAGTCACTCCGCATACGAGGTCGCACCCCATTGAACTCGGAGCCGACCAGGAGCGCGGCGCTGCCGTCGAGAACGACGCGGGAGAGCGGCGGCGGCCGTCTCCACCTGGGGTGACCGCACCGGCGACGAGCGGCACACGGCCGGCGCACTAGCGGCGGGTCGGACCGCCCTCTCGGCGGCGACCGCGGTGCGCGCTGGCGGCGGCGGCGGCGGCGGCGGCTGAGGCGCACCCGCAGCGGGCGGGCGCGGGGCGGACGGAGCCACAGGCGGGGTGGGTTCCGTCAGAAGCGGCCGGTATGGGCGCAGGTAGCGGCGGTTACGCCACAGGACCTTGCCACTGGCCGTCTTGACGAGGTACGTGCGCCGCTGACCGACGCCCACGATCACTCCGATCCGGTTCCATCGGCCGGTGGCGGGGTCTTGAAGGTCGACCCGACTGCCGATCTTGAGCGGTGACAGCCGGCGCGTGCTCTTGTTGTAGCACCTGACGGCCTGCTCCTGGAGCTCGGCAGCCTTTTCCTCGCAGACATCGGCCGCCCGCTGCCACTCAGGAGCGAAGGCGCGGTGGTGCGTGGGAACACCAGAGCGAAGCGGGTGACCAAACAGCACCTGTGCCGGCGACCGCCCGTCTGCTCGGGGCGTGTTACGGAGTTCGAGCAGACTTCGGTCCAGTTGGTCCTGGTCGAGCCGGCCCGATGAGGACGCAGCCAGCACCAGCTTCTTCGCTGTCTTCACGCAGGCCTCCGCGTGCCCGTTAGCGCGCGGGTAGTGCGGTGACGACATCTCATGTCGTACGTCCCAGCGCTGGAGGAACCGGCGGAGCGTGCCTGATGCAAACTGGGGTCCGCCGTCTGACCGGAACACGGTCGGGACGCCCGTCTGCGAGAACATCAGTCGGAGCTGCCGCGTCAGATGGTCTGCCGAGGCCGTGCGGGGACACACTGTGACATACGGCCACCCGGACAGCCGGTCCACGTACACCAGGTACGTGTGTCCTCCAGCGGAGAAGTAGTCGGCCGAGACCGACTCGAAGACGCGTGTCGGTGCGCCGTCCTCCTGCCACATCGGCTCCCGGGCGTGGCTGGGCAGGCGCTGACGGCACTGAGCGCAGGCGGCGACAGTGTCAGCAATCTGCTTGTCGATGCCCGGCCAGTACACACTGAGCCGAGCACGGCGCTTGGTCCTATCAACGCCCTGGTGTGACTCGTGGAGTTTCTCCAGCACACCGCGTCGGAGGGCGGACGGGATGACCAGTCGAGCGCCGTAGACCACCAGTCCGTCGTCGATGGCCAGCTGATGGCGCACGCCCCAGTACGCTCGTACTGCAGGGGGCGTCTCGTGCCGGTTCTCTGGGAATCCGGCCAGGATCAGCTCGCTGAGAGTCTGGTACTCGGTGTCGCGCTCCGCGGCGGCGCGGACTCTCTCCAGTGTGGAGTCGACCAGCGGAGCCAGCTGGGCGCCCTCCTCCGATCGGGTGGAGGCCTGCAGCGCGGCAATGACGCTGGCGTGCAGCGGGTCGTCCTCGGTGTCCACCGCTCCGTCGTCATCAGCGGCGGGGTCGCTGGTGGGCGCTCGCGAGAGCGCGTCTGGGATCACGTGACTCGATCCCTTCTGCCAGCTGGTGGTGAAGCTGTAGGCCAACAACTTCTCTCTCATCCGCTGCAGACGCGGGTTGTCGATCGAGTTGAGCTGCTTGTAGTTTAGGATGGTCACCAGCGGTCGGTGGTCGACCACCAGGTCGAAGTGGGGCATGCCAGCCAGGTAGACATGGCACTTCTTGCAGGCCCAGAGTACAGCAGCCAGCTCCAGCTCGATTACAGCATATCGGCTCTCGGTATCGGTCAGGAACCGTGAACCATACTGGACCACACGCCAGTCCTCGCCGTGCCTCTGGAGCAGTGCAAAACCCAGTCCTCGGGTTTTAGCAGCGTCCGTCTGTAGCACGGTCGGCAGCTGGGGGTCGAAGAATGCCATCACCGGCGGTGACGACAGCACAATCTTGGTGTGCAGAAACGCTGCCTCGTGCTGCTCAGTCCAGCGCCAGACCCGGCGCGACTTGAGGAGGTCTCTGAAGGCCTGAGTCGAGTCAGCCAGCTCCGGTGTGAGGCCGCTCAGCTGATTTACCAGACCCATGAAGGACCGCAGGTCGGTGACGTTCTCCGGTCTCGGGAAATCAGCGATGGCGCGCGCCTTTTCATTGTCGGTGGTGTAGCCGGCCGGGGTGATCTTGTAGCCGCAGAAGTTGACCTCATTCTGGGCGAACTTGAACTTCAGCGGGTTCAGCGTGATTCCTCGGTCGTCACAGCGCCGGAGGATTTCGATCACCTGCTGCAGGTGCTGCCGGTACGTCTGTGCCACGGCCAGGATGTCGTCGACAATCTTGACACAGTTTGGGATGTCGCCGAGCGCGGCATCGCCGCGCCGGTTGTACTCGTCTCCAGACGCACTGCATCCCATCGGACAGCGGACGAACTTGAACCTGCCCCACGGCGTGATGAAGCAGGTGAGGTCCTGACTTGACTCAGCGAGCGGCACCTGGAAGTAGCCCATCTTGGCGTCCAGAGTCGACATCCACCGGTGCCCGGCGGGCAGACTCGTCACGGCATCGTGAGGAGACCGGCAGGGGTACGTGGGTCGATTCACGTACCGGTTGAGTCCCGTCAGGTCCACGCAGAGTCGAAACCCGGACGGGTTCTTCGGCACGCACGAAATGGGATGGCACCATTCCGTCGGGTAGTCCACAGGGACGATGACGCCGCGGTCCAGCAGGTCGTCCAGCTGCGCCTTTACCTCGGCACGCCAGGCGAAGGGGATCGGTCTCGCAGCGGTGACCGACGTCGGACACGCGTCGGGCCGGAGTTCGATCGTCATCAGACCGCCGTCCATGACTCGAAGAGTCGAATCTTGCCCGAACACACGCGGGAAACACTCCACCAGAGCGGCTGCATGAGCTGCACGGACCGCCTCCGGTGGGTCTGAGTCGCTGTCCCAGGCCGGCAGCGGACCGCTGAGGCCGGCGGCCGGGCCGGGTCCATCGGCCGGCGGCGCCGGCGCGCCCGTCTCGGTCCCGGTGGCCGGACAGGGCCTGTCACGCGGCGCCTCATACGGGGCCGAGCGGCCGCTGGCGCTACGAGCGGAGCCGGCAGCGGCCGGCGGTGCAGACGGTGTGACGTCATTAGAGGGTGTGACGTCACCAGCGGATGTGACGTCAACAGAGGCCGTGACGTCATCAGCAGGGCGCGGTGCGTCCTCGACGGACCGGATCTGTGCCGGAAAATCCCTCGGCAGAATCCCCAGCGCCACACAGTCGAACCAGCTGAGTAGCAGGCCAGTCAGCTCCCTGATGACGAACACGGCAGCGGTGGTCGATCGGTCGCCCAGCTCCAGAGTAGCCCGGAACGACCCGACACAGGTGAGCGGCTGTTTCCCTACTGCTGAAAATGGCTGGCCGATGCAGGGCTCCAACTGCGCTGGTTCCACGCAGATGGAAGACAGGCTGTCTTCGCCGATGACTGTCGCCTCGGCGCCGGAGTCGGCCCGGGCCGGCACGGTGAACACACCAGCCGGCGTAGACAGTCGGACAGTCACAGTGGGAGTCGGCCGCGTCGAGATGCCGTTCACGTAGACGTCTCTGATGATACGGCAGATGCGCGGCTCTGACGGCTGCCCCACCGCGGGCCGCGCGCGCTCCGGTGCTGCGCGCTCGGCGGGGGCAGCGGCGCTCTCGCGCGCCACCTGGGCGCACACCACTGCAAAGTGGCCGCGCTGGCCACACGAGTTGCAGATGGCGCTAGTAGCGCGGCACGCCGCCGGGTCTGCGTGGGCGGCCCGCCCGCAGCGGCAGCAGCGCGCGCCGGCCGCGCCCGCGGAGCGCCCGCCAGGTTGGGCCGCGGGGCGCGCCTGGGGGCGGCGCACGCCGGCCGTACCCGCGGAACGCCCGCCGGGTTGGGCCGCGGGGCGCGCATCGCGCGACCTTGAACGGCGGTATGCCGACAGACGGCTCACTGACGCCGTCGGTGAGCGGAGGTCGGAGCAGGTAGCCCGGGCGTTCTCTGACGCACGGCAGATGTCCACCGTCTTCTTGAGGTCCAGCCCCGGATCCTCCAACAGACGCTTCACCGTCTCCTCGTCCCGCAGGCCACACACAATCTTGTCACGCAGGCGTGAGTCGTAACAGTGTGTGCAAAAGTCGCAAAATGCCGCGAGCTCCTTCACTTCGCACAGAAACTCCTCAAAATTCTCGCCCTGCTCCTGGACACGGGCGTAGAACGCACGGCGGTCGACCAGGACACTGCGCTGCTTACGGAGATGACTCTCCATTGCGTCTACCACCGCGGAGAGGGGAGAGTCGTCCGCTATCGTCAGTCCATAGCGCAGCACCCGGTGCCAATCTTCGTCGAGAAGACTGAGAAGGGCAGCTCTCTGGGCAGTGACGGGCAGCGCGGACGCGCCGGTCAGAAGCATGTACCCGTCCAGCTTCTCCCTCCATACAGCGAAGTCGCGCAGGGATGTGGAGGACGACAGATGAGGCGCCGGCGTTGCAGCAGCAGGCAGGCGCACGGGCGGGGCGGCAGCCGACGTCCGGGCGGCTGTCGCCGCCGAGGCATCGTCGGCAGCGACGGTAGCGGGTGGCTGTCGGTCGGCGACCAGTCGCTCCACCATCTGAGTGAGCCGCTCCTCGCGCTGCGCTGAGTCTCGCTCCCGCTGCGCCGACAGCTCCGCCTGCTGCAGGAGCAGCTGCGTCAGTTTCTCAATGTCACTCATCGTCACAGATCACGGCGCGCTATACACTAATTACTGATACACTGATACACCGATCACTGCGCGCACGCACGGAACCATCTACTGACCGCGCCATGTTATGTTCGTGATTCACGGTTCGAGTGAGAGAGAGCTTAAGAGAAACGCGATTTATTTACTGCCGGTGCGAATGGGCCGAGAGAGTCCTCCAAAAACTAAACAAGTATGGCGAGCGCCACGCCTAGTCGCCCGCGCCAGTCATGCCGCTTGGCGCGCACGATCAGCTGAGCGTCGGCAGGGGCGCTCCCAGGCACACAGAGGTGGGGCCGCAGAGGCGGTCCAAGTACACACCCCCTATACCCGAACACAACATTGACTAATGGGCTAGTGCCGTGTTCGCTTGGTTCTCCGGGTTGCTCATAAGATGCGACCGAGCGCGTTACCAGAGCCGTCTGCTGGTAAGGCTTCCATTCCCGACGCTAATTGGAAGAACGCTAAAACAAGGAGGCCGGCATCCGGGATGCCCCTCTCAGCGGAGATGTCTCAAAGTGTGGAGTCAGGTGGCAGACTTGTAATTGGTTTACAGTCATTGATAGCATTGCCGAGATGACCTGTCAGCCGCACGCTTTATTGTGTCCGGGCGAAAAGTTACCGCCGGCAGACTTCTGGTCGTGAGCCGGGCTCATCCATTTCGAGCCCCGCCGTCTGGCTTTGGGTCGCCTCTGGGCGCGACGAATATAGACCGTGTTTGAGATCACATCCTCAGCCCCGGACTGCCGCTGTCACGGCCGGCAAAGTTGGTCGTATCGCCGCAACCATGGGCCATTTCACCGCGCGCCTGACAGTGACGCCGGGCCGAGAGTCTGCGGCGCCACTGGGTATCGACCCCGGCGGACTGCCAGACGACCGTCCCGGGATGCATTTTTAACCCGCCACGTCCAGGTGTGGTGGGGAGGGATAATTTAAGACTGTTGAATAGTGGCAGCCAAGGTGTGGAGGCGTCATACTATTAGTCGATGACAGCAAGAACCAAGAAACATGTGCTTTTTACTGAAAACATTAACCTGGCCTCCTTGCTTTTCTTTTATAATTGTTTCAGTCATTAAATTGGCAATACCAGCACTTAAAGATTTCATTGGAATTTTCAACTAGAGTACTTCAGTCAGTACTCAGTTAACACCACCTTTTAAAATTCCCTCTGCAAAACCTTAAGCTACATAAAGCGAAAACGTTATTTGCATCGGAGAACGTGTCTTCCATTACATTCCGGTGCAACCTTCTAGTACGTAAAGGTGGTATACTGAGGTGGTGCGCCGAGCCAATAATGGCGCCCACGCTGGCACGGCATTCATGCATGCTAACGCGTCCGCTGCACACGAGACGTGGACCATTGGTGACTGATGAAGCTGACGTGACTGGTGTGTCTTACGGCGGTAATTTGGGTCGGACGTGGGCCATGGGACTGGCGAATATGCTCAGTAGACTACATACATGAGACATGTCATACAAAAAAATGTGTTACGCATAATTTGGACTGATGCTTGATCATTTAGGCATGAACAGTGAACTGTCGAGCGTTCTGGCCGATGTCTAAGACGATGAACACAGTGGGGTCTCGAACTCCCAAAAGGATTCGATCTCCGCTGAAGCTGACAACAGCCATGATACACCATTATTAACTACTAACTCCTATCTCCTTTCGCACCGACAGCGCCGTCCTGCAAGCCGGGCCGCTTCTTCAACCTGACCTCGCTGAGCTGCGGCAAGTGTCCGGCGGGCTCGTACTCGCTGGGCGGAGGTCAGGTGTTTGACGAGTGGGCCAAGGTGCCCGACGGCTTCCAAGTGGTCACCGAGCCATTCAAGACGTCCTTCCTCAACGTGAAGCGACTCGGTGCCGACATCAACTGCGACGAGTCAGTATACCCGAGGTGGTGGGGAAGAGAAAGGGGTTGCACGCTACGCTATGTAATATTTAGGAGAGTATCATTGAAGGTCTACATTCGATATATTCAAAGCCCATTGTGCCACTCCACCCGATGTAAATAAACGCTTGTGGGGTGCATTTACAGTGCAAAATCTCGCAGCACAATGATTTCACATAGGCTGTCACTGCACGTAATGTGCTTGTTTTCATGGGTTTCCATCGTTCCCATGAATTGAATGTGGCGCTATATTGATTCTGGCGGACAGTGCATATAGAATCATGTCTGATAAGGTCATCGATTCGACGCCCGCCCGTCCAACCGATCGTTTGCCAGTCCGTCTGGCCATTTATTTTTCCCGTCCGTCTGTTTGTCCTTTTTCTTTTCTTTTGTCTGTACATTTGTCAATTCTTTTCATTTCATCAGTTTGTAATGCTTCCCGTCCGTTTTCACTCGCCCATTCTGTCTGTCCGTCCGTCCGTCCGTCCATTCCACCCACTCTGTTCTCCCGTCCGTCGGTCCGTCCGTACCTACATACATTCTGTCCACGTGTCCGCCGGTACCCGTGTCAGTCAATGTCCGGAGCGTCCTGGGTCACCTGTTTACGAGACCCGGGGCGGCGCAGAACCCACGGATCGATCGGTCCGCGTGAGACGATGTAAAAACGCGCCTGTTTACATCTCTGTGGTAGACTGGCAGAGACGAGCCCACATCTCTCCGGGGGGCTTCGACACATATGTAGTGTATTGTCAATACCTACTTGTTAATCGGTGTATCTAAGAAGAATGCTTCCCTATAACTTTCTATAGTTTCAAAGAAAACCTTCCTTGTATCTCTATAGAACAAGCTCATCGGAGTTGTGTGCGTGCAAGCATTCTCATGCCTCAGACTTGTTATATCAGGAGCCAATGTCGCTGGAGAGGATCGCGTGTTCGCTGACGTCATGAACGCTTTCAACTTAATGGTTTAGCCATCGGGTGCCCTGTACGCTATTGTCACGTCTGTAGTGTCTTGCTATTCGGCCTGAACCTACAGCATGTCCTAGTAAGCTTGTCTGGCTGTGCCACAGTCTGCATGCTCTTTGTATTTCATCTAGCTTATCTGATGCGTGTCTGGCGTTGCAGTTTCGGCTGGCAGCCGCGCGGCGAGGTGCTCTCGTCGGCTGGCGGGCCTTGCTCCTCCGCCCTGGTGTACGCCGTTCACCTCGTGGAGCACGGCAAACTCATGTTTGAGTATCAGAACACCAACCCGGACGTACTCTTCAAGTTTCTGGTACGTACACAAACGAATGGGAAATTGTAACGTTGTAGCAATTTAAGGAAATTAACGTAGGAGCTTGAAGTTATTAATCCACTTGGATTGGATTGAACCGCGTGGTAGCTCAATTGGGAGTTGCTTTGCTTGATGAATTACAATGTGAAAGCAAAATCAACACCCATTTCGTGAGAATACTCGGCACCTGTTGCTGTTAGCTCCCTTTCAAACAGTTCTGTGAAGCAGGTGACAATGGGACATGGGTCGCCGCTATTAGCGTCGCCTACCCAACGCCAACACACGGCGACCTGCATTCGCGACTGAATAAACTGATAAAGTGTGTCAAAGCACCTACATCGCGGCGCCCACGGCAGCATTTCCAGACAGTTAATGGGACTGGTGACATTATGGCTGGCAAACGTGGTAATCGTGTGTTTATCACAGCGTTCTGTGATAAGCGCGGTTCAAATAATCACAATCACCCACACGATACCGTATCTTTTTAACGATGACGGGTATTTGATGTGGTGTAAAACACACTGATAATTTAACGAGTCTGCTCTTCTAAAAGCCCGCTCCTGCGACCCCGTCTGACCGGTCTCGCTCGGACCACCCTCAGCCGCAGGACGACCAGTGCCAGCAACTGGTCGGTCTCGAGGACAGCACGTGGCCGGCACTCACCAAGGAGGGCGAGTGGAAGAACATCACCGTGCCGCTCAAAAAGGGTCTCAACGTGCTCCATTGGAAAACCATCGGCATGGACCTGCACACCGGCAGGGCGGTGCTCATCAAGCGGATTGAGATCAGCGGTGAGTCGTGGTTGACAGACACTCCCATGAAGTGTCAACGCACCGATGGCTTTAACGGACAGCTAGAAAACTCCCAGTCTTGGGCGGCGGGCCGCGGTTTTCGCTGTTTTCATGTGCGGCAGAATTACGACAGTCTCGGTTCTCCAGAAGCAGTTCTGAAGGACTGAGGCGTTTTATTGTAGGTTTCATGTAGCTACCCAGTGGCGGACGGTAGCGGCGTATGTACCGACCGTTTCCGCACGGCTTGGTAATCTGATTACCGCAGCCCGGCCGGCGCCTCTCCAGACCCAGACGGCGGCGGTGGCTGGCAGCCGGCCTCCCTGTCAGCGCCCCTGATCGATACGGCGCCCCCTGCTCCAGGGGCTCCTAGGGGCGGGGAGCGATGGATCAGCGGGGAGTCGAGTGGGGTCCGCCAGGTGCCCCGGGGAGCCGCCGCCACCATTATTACCCGCTTTGCATACAGACAGCTCGATAATGGTGATGGATTTTTGGACGTTCGGTTTTTGAAGATAAAAAACTTGTTTTTTTATAATATAATGCAAGCATCGTCCTAAGGCAGAAAGTAGCCTAGTGTAGATGTATGTGATGTCCCGGTCCAGCTCGCCATTCCAGCCCATTCCAGACAGGTTCCCAGACATTACACTGAGCTCTGGGCATTACCCTTTCCGCGTAGTCCACCTTGCTATCACGCGGAGACCACCCGGTGGTGGAGAGGGCTTCGATCCCGACGATCTAAGCCCGGGCACGTGCCGTCTGGGAGACGCCGAGCCCCCCTCGCCCGGAGTGGCTGATAGATCCGCCGCTCAGCCACTCGATCAATCTCTGACCGCCACAGGGCCCTAGCAAGGCCGCGGCCTCACCTCCCAGCCCGGCTGAGCACTGCCACCTCCGACCGAAGTCGTTATGTCTCCGGCTGAACCCTCGCAGCCCATTTGACCGTTCCGCGGTGTCTCCAGGAGTGGCATACACCTCTTCCTGCACGCCGTGCAAGGCGGGTACGTACAGCCACAGCGCGCAGAGCCGCTGTCGCCGCTGTGCGGTCAACACGCACTCTCAGCGCGGTGCGTCGCAGTGCCAGCCGTGCAACAAGAAGACAGAGTACGCTCCGCGCGGCTCGCCCAAGTGCTACAAGCGCCAGCCATGCTCGTCGGCCGACTACTACGAACTGCACTCGCCCTGTGTCCAGAACAAGGTGGGTGCTGCGAACGGGTGGGCGACTGGAGCATAGCTGACAGTGTGGAGTGCATTTGACGCCCAATAAATAACATGCCCATTGCCCAATAATGGTAATTGACTGAGGTCGGTTAATTTTCCCTAATTGATCTGGACTGGTAGCAGATTGCTCGCATCAACTGGCCCGTCATTTCCTAGAACCGCTGTGCATTAATTTGAAGCCGTCCCTGATGCCCTGTCGGCGGCCATGAGTTCCCAGCGCCCCATTCCGAGCTGACAGGATGACATCCCTTGGGAGGTACGGCGCGACCTTTACCGACAATGGACCGCTAATGGCGGCGACAGGTGTTTTACGGTGGACGTGTGAGCAATGAGGTGTCGGATGGGCCGTGACAGCGTAAGCCGAAGGGATAAGGGCGAGATGAGACGCGGCATTAACGAGCAATAGCTGTGAGAGGAGACTTGCCTAACGACAAATATGTGGGGAGGCCAGACGGCGGTTCAGGAGAACAGTGTCGTAAGTATTCCCTTCAGTACTGAGCTTTTATTTGGAGCCTGTAACCCGGACGGTCCGTTGCAGACCCGACTGGAGTACCACTGGGTGGAGCCCAAGATATGCCGCGAGGACCTGCCCGGGGCTGAGACCCTGCCACCGTCCGGGAGCGAGAAGCCGTGCCCGCCCTGCAGCCCGGGCATGCAGCACGGAGACAGCCTCAGTAAGTACCGCAGATCAAATATGAGGCATGGCCGTGTAAGTTATAACCGCGTGGACGAGGGCCGCTAAGCGAGTGTTCGTCAGGGCCAAGGAAGACACGATAAATGCAATCATAGAGCATAATATTATAAGCTCCTCTGATCACGCTTCAAAAAAAAGTGAGAAAAAACTTACATCTAAATTGTACCATATTGTCGATTTCGAAGCACCTTTTTACCAGGAAAAACATTTGTGATCTTTTGAAAATTCCTATCTTCATTTACCCTCGGACTATTCGCGACTATCATCGATATTCTGATTACGCCAGTGTAGCAATTTATGGTCATCGGCTCTCTCGCATCATAGAAGTTGGAGCGACTGACAGAGTCGCGCCCACACCGCAATTTAGTCACACACGCAAGACAGTCTTACGGCTCGACACAGGGGCTCTGTCATAAAAAGGTCACCTGGCGACAGCGCCGTAGTGCTCGCGGATGTAATCGAGTGGTCTGTTGCCGGTTCAGGTCACGGTGCTGGGTACATATGAGTAGGCAGCACAGCGCGGATTTTCTGGCGTCCCAGGCCGAAAGGCATACAAGATAGATGGGGAATGGGCAGACTGGTGCGACGAACATGTGGCAATATCCGCGATACGGCGGCTCGCATGAGGTCGAGTAAATTTTGCCACCAGTTTTGATTGAGTGCTCTAAACTGGCAGTAGAGTATTGAACGAACTTTTGGAGGCTGTGGCAGGTATACACTGTTACCCGAGGAGCCTGCAAGATGGCGTAAACGGCAATTGCGGGGTTGGGTTGCAGGCTGAAATCAATACGACATACAGCTGGCGTGTAGGTACTTTCGCTTGCAGCTGTTCAGTACTGTCATACTGTTGCTTCCACTCAGCAGCTAGTGCTTCCCTTCTACTAAGCACTCAGCGCCTGTCCACTTTCCACGCAGCATTTTACGACCGAACAGAGGGTACCTTTCTCCATGCGAACTTCGTTGGATATGTCAGTATTAAACGGATGCTTTATGTTTTTTACATTTATAACGTCACCCATGACGAATTGTCGATGTTGCGAGACATCACCGGCTGCAGCCATGACAGATGCTTTTCTTATGCAAATACACACGCTATGCTTGCATTTTTGAAAAAGAACGAGCAGTGAACAATGACCAATTGACCAATGGTATGTAGATCATTGCGCTGGCCTGACATACGACCTTCTCTTCTTGGGCCTCATAAAAAGTGAAGCCGCGGATTTGTAGGCCTGACCAGTGACCAGTAACCAGCCTCGTATAGCGATCAGTTATCATTGATAAGGTATTCTAACTTTAACGCCTGTCCCTCGTGACTCTCAGAGACGGTCCCCGATTTGATGACGGCAACAAGTGAATTGGGAGTTTTTATGCACAACCATACCGAGACCTACAAATATAAATAACCAGCACACACCAACATGCTGTGCTCGCATGGGCTACTGACTCGCCCCAGCCCCAGACGCTATCGACCATGGGCACGCACCGCGCTGGTCAGTGGGCACACCGTACCTACGCAATATGGGGCCAGCCGGGCCGGACCGCGACACTGACGGCGGCGGTCGTCAGACGGTCCCGGTGGCCGGGCTGGATCGATCGGTCCGCGGCGGCACAACACACGCGCACCGCCGCGCCGGGCGTGGGGACACGCCGGGACCGCTCCCCTCCACTAGGTCACTGAGGTGTGCGGACCGCCCCGTGGCGAAGGTTCTAATCATGGATGGAGAGACTAGAATAAAGAACGGCTTTCAGAGTATCCATCATAGTCTGTGCATTGGTGGCGGCAAGTTTGAAAAGGCATTAAATGACAGCCAACTTTGTGGCTATGCGGCTCGACGGAAGTGTACCAGGATATTGGCCGACTTTGCGACACTTTTCAGGCGTCTCCAGAGTTCCTTAACTTTCTTAGGCTTTCTGGGAAGCTGTAAGTAAGCCGGATCCTTATGGTCAGTGGTGCTGACTGAGCCAATATGAGGTGTCGGCAAAAACTGGCGTTTGTTTGCGCCGACTGGTTATTAGCCGGAGTGTTGGCCTGGCGACTGGCGACCGGCTGTCTGGCGAGCTAAGACCCTACAGTCCGTCACTGTGTCAAACTAAGCCCGCTTCACGACAGAGGGCACTTGAGCGACGGCCGGCATGGTAACGCTGAATCAGCAGTCAGGCGATCTAAGGTCATGAATGTCTGCGGTACTGAGAGTCTGATGGAATTTAGAACGCGGCTTTGATGTTAGCTGATAGCCCTTGATGATGTTTTAATTAGGTAGGCATTTCACTGATCAATTTAATAGCAATTGAGCGCGCTCTGCGCCCGGCGTCCACTACCATCGCTCGCGTTGTTCACCTGGCATATAGGCTGTACCGCCGGACGCCACAGCCCGGCGGGTCAGCCTACCCTTCAGTGAGTCTGTCATCAGGCATCAGCATCAGCTCAGTCATCAGGCATCAGCTCCAGCACGCAAACGCGATGAAATGGATTGTTGCTTGGTTAAAACTTAAAAATGATTGCCCGGTAGCTGTTTTTGAGGTTGCCACTTTGAAATATATAAGTTTATCCAACCAACCGCCACTCAGTATTTTGAGCCAGCCGAGAACTGCCAAAGATGTTATGTGTAGTTTCACCACATCAATACCGTGTTACCAGTCAGGTTACGACCATTAAACTGAATTTGTGTCTTCACACACTAAAGCACATCAAAGTGGGGTTGTGGGTGTCCGAACTACATCGATTATCGGTGCCTCGTCACGCCTAAATATCTCCACAGTTATTGACCCGCTGCCACTGGAGCTTCCCTCGCTTGCCACACTGCCAGATCTGACCACGTTTCTGTCCTGCCCCCCTCAGAGTGCGAGTTTTGCGGCCGGGGCGCGTTCAGCGACGGTACAGCCCGCTGCCAGGCGTGTCCGCCCAACACGGCACCCGACTACGGCTACCACCTGACATCGTGGAGCTCACTGCCGCCCGACGTCACAGCCACCTGCATGAGCTTCGACAGTACGGACCGGGGCGGGCGGTGACCGGGCGCCTGGGATGGTGATCGCATGTTTCAGGATTAATTCAAGCCTTGTCAATGTAGTAGGTAGCTGTTTCTTGCAAAGAAGCCGATGGGGCATTTTGGTTTTTTATTCCATTATACAGATTACAAACCATCAAGGAATTTTTGTATTTTAACTTTTGTTAGTTCAGTCACTAATAATTAGGTACAGCTTGTTTTTATCTGCTCAGGTGTTGCATTCCGTCTTGAGAGTCCGTGCATGGAGGATGGGCAGCCCCGCAGTCCCATGTAAAGTGTTTCTATTCTAACCCGCCTCCCCGCGCGGGCAGATGTGGGCTGCAGCAGCAGCAAGAGCTGGCAGGCGGCCGGCGACCACGTGCACTCGGGCCGCGGCCAGGCGGACGGCGTGTACCTGGTGCTGTCGCTGGTTGTGGCCGGGTTCCGCTCGGCCGGCGGCGTGCAGAACGGCGCCGCCAGGCAGGTCGGAGACGTCAGCTTCAGCTTCGAGGTCGACTGCAAGAGGGACTGCGAGTTCGCCTTTATGCAGGTAAGCCTGTGAACGGGGAGAAGTATGGAGTCAGCTGCTGGAGTGCTGACCACGATCTACATCAGACTACCTTTACCACGACCTTCGAATTGTAATCATCGGGGAATACAGTAATATATTTCTACGAATGAAACTGATGATTAAACGTACGGAATAAGACAAAAGCAGCATCTATTTCTGCATTAAGGGTCATGTTCTCAACTTAGACTTAGGCACGACTTCAGCCAGTAATTTCCACATGAAAAAGCGCACAATTAAGGTCCATTATTTAATTCAACGTCATTTGTCACACGCCTGTTATCAGTTCACGTTTGGTATCGCGACAGCCACCGTATATTTTTCATAGCTTTATGCTCGGTTTTAGTCTGTGACGTTTGGACAACAGACAGCCCCCGATCCGGTGACCCTTGACTCTGAATGTCAGCAGTTTAGTATGGGGCCATGGCCCGTATGACGCGCGGCAGCCGGCACCATCCAGTCGCCCAGGCGCCAAACAGCACGTCATTGTTATTGTAGGTCAGCAGGCTCGTTACCGTGACTCTCCACCGAAAGAGGGGGCTGACAGCCAGCACATCGCCCAGTGTACCGCTGCGTCCCCTTCCCTGGCCTCCCTGTCACACACATACACTACACTTACATGCTATATGGCCCCAGTTATGGAGAATAGCAAACGTACTGCTAGCCTCTGTGGTCCCGCCGACTTAACTACTTTAGATGTTGTGAAGGGGATATTGGCAGCGTCGAGTTTCAACGGCCACCATCGCTCTGGTTATCATTCCCTGCCATAGGTGGGCACGATCCGTTCCTCCGTTCCTCCGTTCCGGAACGCCGTTACAATTTTTAGGAACGGAGGAACGGACTCGTTACATTTTAAAAAGGGTAACGGACCAAGGAACTTACGTTACATTGGTTGCTCGTTCCTCCGTTACAGTTTAGCCCGTTCCTTCGTTCCTCCGTTCTTCCGTTACTTTTCGTTTTCCGAGCGGGATGATCTTTCAAGTAACCCACAGACATTAATGTGGCAGCGAAGTTTAAGTTTTATCGTATTCTAATGTGTTAGGTTTAGACTTTAGTAAACCTGAGACCAGTCACAGTTCAAGCAGGTCAAGTGCCAAGGCACAGACTTCTCTATATATGGAGACTTCTACAGACTTCTCTATACGTATAGAGAAGTCTGTGGCCAAGGCTATAATAAAAATATGGCTCGAAGATGTCTTGAATAAGGAAGCTGGCCTCAGTGACCTGGCCTTCCGGAAGGAGCCGGCGTTGCAGCATGTGTTCGCAAACGGGCGTCCCTTCAAGCGCCGAGCTCAGTTTCTCGATGGGAAAAGACGTGCTAAGTGCAAAAAGGGCTACCCTCTCAGATGCCAACCTGGAACGTCTAGTGTTCGTGAAGGGCAACCGGCATCTGGCCGGGGACAAGTGATGCGCATCAGTACCACCAGACGTTCCAAGGTTTAGTGTCCAATCAGTGCCCGCTGTCCTGGTAGATTTGGTGGGCATTCCGCTTTCTCGGTAGGTTTAGTTTGTGTCTGAATGGTCTCAGAAATGTGTGAAATACACACCATTTTAACGTTTTTTTCTTTTGTTGTAACGGAGTAACGGACTAAAGACCTTCCGTTACATTATTTGCAGATGAACGGATGAACGAGTAACGGAAGTCACGTCGTGAAGGAACGAAAGAACGAGTAACGAAGTTACAATTTTGGGGAACGATGCCCACCTATGTTCCCTGCGGCGTTGGTGAACTCCCCAGGGTCCACTAGCCCGTTGTCCAGTGTTTGGCGGCCAGGTACTGAAGTTGTGTGCCCGTCGACATTATTGGTCGCCGGCGGCGTACCCCCGATGAGATTGCAGTGGACCGATAGCCCCGTCCCCTCCGGCGGGTGAGCCGTCCGTCCACAGAGCAGGTATTATTGGTTTAGAGCCATAATGGCGACCGCAGTCAGCGCCAGTGTTAGTTGGCTAGCGATATTGCGTTACTGAGCTGCAAGTGCAACAGTATATCGGTCCTCTTCAGACTTCAATTGGCGTTAATTGATGCTCAAGGAAATTAATAATGCTTACGTTGGTGAAGCGTATGACGGTGCATCTGTTACAAGGCACATATTATCTAATTAACCACCTTTTCCCGCACCTCCCAGTCGACTGAGGACACACAGCTGTCGGTGGTGAAGTCATGGACGGGCCGCCAGGAGAGGCAGCGGTTCACCTACCCCATCACCCACAACACGAGCTACACGTTCAGCTGGGTGTTCCAGAAGATGGGCTGGGACGAGGCGATGACCGTGCTGTCCAGCAGCCGGCTGTACGACCGCGACATGGTGCGCATCTACAGCATCAACGTGACCAACACCATCGACGGCGGCGCCGCCTCCTGCCTGCCCTGCCCGCAGGTCAGTGGAGGGACGGACCGTTCTTGCGGAATCTCAACCACGTTTGCTAGTTTTTGTTATGTGCATAACTGGTGTAAATCATTTGAGTTTTACAGCTCCCGAGCTAATGGATGCGGCAAAAGAATAGAAGAGTCGATATGGCAGAATTTCGGGCGGGTTGTGATGCTTTGCTGCCTTTTAGTGTCATATGGACAGCTTACGTCTGCCCTGTCTGCCTGTCCTGACGCCCCCGTCCTTTTACCGTGTTTCAGGGCACCAAGGACCAGTCGTGCGTGCCGTGTCCGCCGGGCCACTACGTGGAGGCGGCCGGCAGCGGCTCGCGGTGTGTCCGCTGTCCGCCGGACACCGTGGTGATGGGGCCGCTGAGCTACGGGCGCGACTCGTGCCAGCCGTGCGGACCGGGCCTCTCCAGCTCCGACGGAGAGCGCTGCACCACCAGCTGCAAGGCCAACGTCAGCGGCCGCGTGTTCGACTTCTCCAGACTGAACAAGTGAGGCGCGGATGGCCAGGGCTGGTGCAGTGGAAGTCCTTGCACAGAGCGAATGTTGGCGGCAGTTTCCCAGGTCGTATTTTTACTTGGTGTGGTCAATGAGGGAGCTCGAAATATTGGTTGGAATGTAATGTCAAATAATTGCGGTAGCTGTTTTTCTTTATAAGGAATTCCAACGACCGTGCCCGTTTCATTCCCGGCAGGCCGTTCCCGATAGAGGGCAGCACACTGTTCACGGCGTCAGGCACCCAGTACTTCCACCTGTTCAACATGAGCCTCTGCGGCGGCGCGCAGGCCACCTGCAAGAACAACGTCTCCTACCACGACGACGGCGTCGACCGCGCTGTGGTTGTAAGTACGGGCTATTTTGAGGCGTAGTATTTTGGCGACGTGCGTACCTCGTGTTCGCGCTGTGTGATTCAGTACCTCATACATCATTTTTATCTGTCATACGCACTGTGATCGAAACGGTAATAGTCGGCTGTAATGGACCATGATTCTCGGTTACATCCGTAAAATTTACACAACATACCATTGCTAGCTTTACTGCGTAAATGGTTTCGACTGATGAAGTCTTGCCGAATTTAGCCTTTTGTAGCAAGCAAGAATCCCACTGTGATTAGTGTCGACTCGCCGTCCCATAACCCCGGTGCTCGTTTGTACTTGGCAGGCGGAGTCGTTCCTGTGCCGCAGCACGGTGGTGCCGGCTCACGGCGAGGACGGCTCGCGCCAGTCGTACTCTGTCCAGTCGGTCAGTCTGGCCGACCATCTACTGGGTGTCACCGAAGAGCTTCAACTCGGCGACGCAGAGGTCTACCCAGAGTTTAGGCCCAAAAGCACAGACTCGCTCGACCTGCATCTCTTCTTCACGTCGCCATTGTGAGTAGAATGTCTCTTTGGCTGGGAGAAATAGTGCCTAGGGTGTTTCGAGGTCGGAAGATGGGTAGTAGAGATTGTAAATATGTATGTAACTGTTCAAAGTTTATGCTGTCGAGTCTTAGTATGCTCAGTAGTCAGTACTCACCGTTCCGCCTTCTGTACTCCGTCAGCTCGACCCGGGCGTGTCCCAATGGCCGGTCGGCCACGGTGACTGTGCGGTACAACCCGGAGCGGCCCGGCAACGGCACCGTGCTGCTGCCATCCCGCTGTCCGGACGGCACCTGCGACGGCTGCATCTTCCACTTCCTCTGGGAGACGGCGCTAGCCGGACCCGCCTGTCTGGAGACAGACTACGTGTGAGTCGGCCGTGATGATTATATAACTCTTGGGGAATGGTTGGAAATCTGCTATGATATGTTGTTATATGGGAACTTAGAACTCAAAATATGTTACTGGACACTACATTTTCACCAACTCTTTATTTCAAACTTCTGAGTGACGGTTATAATGCATGGTGTTGTTATATTTTGTACTGAGTGAGACCATACCGTGGCCGGCAGTGTGGTGAAAGGAGAGTGCGAGGGCGGGCAGCAGGAGCTGCACTACCTGCCACCAAAGAACTGCATCGCGCCACAGACCCTGTCCGAACAGACCAAGAAGGTCGCCTGCAAGACCCACCTGCCTTTCACCATACAGGTACGGGGCATTATACCAATTTCGGTTACGGGTGAGTCGCATGCCACAAGTTCCCTATCAACTTTGGCGATATCTCTCCTGGCATAGTGACACAGACTGTGCTGTTAACCAAAATGTGACGAACTGGCGGGCGGCTGTACTACGCAAAAGGCATTTACGCCGTGATACGACCTCATCAGCAACCCTTGCCCATCGATTCCGTTCTTTTCCAGGTGACAATTGTGGGAGCAGTGTCGTTCGCGCTGTGCTTCTTCCTCCTGCTATGCCACTTCTATAAGAAGAACCAGAATCTCGAGTATAAATATATGAAGCTCGTCAAGTCGGCCGGGAGCAAGTGAGTATTTTATTCCTGATCAATCACAGTTATGTGGCTAGGTTAGATCGGTGCTTTAACTAGCCTCCGCCAAGGAGGCACTGAACTTATTCAGTTGCCTCCCTCTGCCCTCGGGACACGGACGCTAACGTGCCGCCCTCTGCGCCCAGGGACCAGGACGGCAACATGGTGCTGCCCTCTGCCGAGTCGTGCGCGCTGGACGAGGGTGAGGAGGACGACGTTCAGATCCACCAGGGACGCACCACCTCCGGCGGACTCTTCAGCCGCATCAAACATCTCGCCAACGACAAGGTGAGACAGCGAGCAGACCAGTCCTGGCTAACAATTTCAGCATGTGCGACACCAGATTACTGGGCGACATCTACGATACTGGACCCGGGATGTTCAATGTTCGCCTCATCTACCTCTGTTTTCAAGTGTGATCGACAAGAAACATGCAATTTACAGTAAGCTCTAAATAGGGAGACATGACATTATGCTGACAGCCGCTAGTTCCCAATCCCCGAGCCGCCGACCGGCGCGTTTCTCTGTCCGCTGACTGCAACCTTCTGTTCTCAGGTGAGGAACCCGCTGGAAGTGATGCAGCTGGCAGAGCATCAGCCTCTCACCTAAGTACCGCTCAAGCGCCAGGCATGGACTAGGGCACCACCATCGCATAGTGGTGGGCGTTGACCGTAATACCGAGCAGCTATAGCTGGCGGTACGCCTCAAAGAGAGAAGAATACGACTAGCTGTGACGGACTACGATAGGAAACGGCTCCTAGTCCGAGTGCAACTTCCTCGAGAAGTTTCATCCACAGGTTTTCGATGACAACTAACCGATGCTTGAGCGACATGGTCAAGGTGGCGCCACGAGAGCGCCAAACAACGGCCACCTGCGCCGCAGTTTTGCGATCTCGCGGGCTTCACGGATACTGTTCAGCCCCGTCATTTGTGTGGCTCATTCGGAAATCGGTCCTTCGGTGCAGGGGGAAATCCCACCGCACAAAGTACATTGAGTGGGTTATTTTTGCGCATGAGACTGAATCCGAACTGTGGAAAGGTGGTGAGCATGTACTCAAACCGACTCTTCCCAGAGTGGTCATGATTGTCAGTTCGGAATTTCAGAGACGGCGATTTGATGTTGGACGTCGGCCATGGGCCGAATTCTCAGCGGGTACGTTACCCAAGTTACACGGACAACAGGGTGGCGGTCGGTCGTATCAGTGTCTGCGAGCAGCAGACACAACTCGGTGTGGTGTGCGCTTCTCGGTCGTTGTTCTTCAGTGACACGCGGTATATCCGGACAGAGGCAGGCAGCGGGTGATAGGCGTCTGGCCTGGCCGATATGTTTGTCACCACGTGTCGTGCGCGGTAACTTTGTGAGTGGATGTGTGCAATGTATGTGCTTGGTGTTGGTCTGAGGATCATGCTGTCGCATTATGTAACCAGCTATGAGGGCAGGAACCTACCGAAGAAACGCACCGATCGACTCCGGGAACTGCTTATGCATGTCAGGCCGCGGAGCTGAATGTAAGTATCTATTTGAACGGCGTGCGTGTATGTATACTGTATGCATACTGTGTACTCTGTATGCATTAGAAGTCGCAGAGAGCATATTTTGCCAACTTGCACGGTGGTGCATTTTGAACCCTAAATGTGATTTGTACTGCGTGCTTTTAGTTTTCCCTAAAGGTGTGTTGGTAGACTGAGTCAAAATTGCCTAGTCAAAGATCTATCGTGTATCCATTGATCCCAACGACTGTGATGCAGGATGTCTGATATATAAATACATAAAAGGATGTTCCATGTTGAACGTTACTCCATGACAGGCTACCTATCCATATCTTTGAAAATAAAAATATGTTAGGATTTAATCCTTTGGGACCGACATAAAAAAATGAAGGGCATTCTGAATCATATCAAAGGCATGACAAAGAGCATCTTACTAGCATCATGCAGCATTCGTTCAAACGCATGTTCTACGCACAAGATCACACAGAAAAATACCGTTTGTCAGTTGCATACCGGTATGTGATCATCAAACACGACACTCACCTGGTGGCATTGGTGTGACAGCAGCTGAGCTCCTCCGGTCCAGGTAGTCAGAACTGATCAGCGATTTGGTTAGAAACCGTCACTAGTCTCCCGCGATCAGTGTAAGTCTCTCACACAGTCTATCATAGTGGCTCCTCAGACTCCAGTTCATCCACGGGGTCCTTCAGTTGGAATCGGGGCAGCTGGGTGGTAATTCTCGCGCAGTCCGATCGGCTGGCGTCCCCTCTCTGGAGGAGCACGGCGCGCAGCTTCCGTCTGACACGGCCGGAGGGGTCGCACTCGGCAGCCCTCGACAACAGGGCGGTGTGGGGACCGCTGCTGTACTCTCCGTCCTCTCCCGCGGCGGTCAGCCGGTCACAGGCAGCCTCCACTGCCGCCACCAGCCCTGGGCGAGCCAGCAGAGTCCGCAGCTCCGGCTCAGACAGCCGCTCCATCCATCCGACGTCCTCCACAGCCGCCAGCTGCCGCTCCAGAGCGCCGTCCACAGCGGCAGGCACCGCTCCTCGGTCAGTGGGGGCGGCCGTCAGCGCCAGGGCCGCCATCCGCGCCCCGTCCGGACCTGCCACCAGCTCGGTAGCCTTCTCAGTCAGCCAGTAAGCCGGCCGGCCGGCCATCGCGCCCTCCAGCAGGTAGCGCCTGAACGCGAGCGCCTGCATCCGGCGGCGGCCGCCGGCGCGCCGCAGCGCCGCTGTCAGCGCGTAGTACGCCTGCTTCTGAGCCGCCTGTCCAGCGAGCACAGAGTCCAGCTGGCCAGCGCGCCGCAGCTCGGCAAGCGCCCGGCGCAGCGTGGCGTCCCCCGCGCGGCCGTTCTGCAGCAGCCGAGACAGCAGCTCGCGGCGCGACCGCCGCAGCAGCGCCACGTTCAGATCACGCCGGGCCCCGCCGGCCGCTGTGGTCACGAACCGGCGCAGCACCGGCTCAGCGGGTGTGCCGTCAGCAGCAGCTGTGGCCTGCTCGCAGTAGTCGGCCCATCGGAGCGCTGCACCAAGGTCCGGCTCTGTCCAGGGCGCGCCGGCCTCGGCCCGTGGCAGCAGGTGCAGCAGGAAGTATCGAATGTTGTCCAACACTGCGCGGCTCCCCATTGTTAGCCTGAAAGCATATTGACAGATGTTAACAGATGTAAAGAGACGTAATTGTAGCATTTGTATGGAGAAGTGACTAAAAATCATTTGTTTCCAGATCATTATGAAAATGGCCTAGCAGTGGGTGCATCCGTCCATGCAAAGAGTGAAATCATGACTTAAATACTGGCAAAATTTGCCCCGCATTTGATGTCTCTCGGACGACGAAGATTCTACGTCGTGCGGCCAATCCCGTTCAAGGGCAGCGGGGGCTTGGCTGAAATTATGGAACGTGATTGGCCGGACGGCGTAGGATCTTCATCGTCCGAGAGACATCAAACGTGGGGTTGATGAAATTGGACAACAAACAGTTACTTCATTTTACACTTATGTTCTCAAACACTCAAACCAAAAAGGTTTGTTGCCTTCTAGCTTCAAAATGTCATTTGTAGCAAAAGAATACAATTGATTTTTGCATTGTTGATTGAGTCAATTCTTTAGGCCCTCGACCAAGGACATATAAACCACCTCCTCCTATGAACCCTACATAATACATATACCGAACACTTACAGTGCTCACAAAAATGCAATTTTGATTTGAAAAGCAGTGCCTAAGCTTCAACGCGTTGTGCCTTACACACTTGCACTAGCTAGCAGGTGCAATTTTTGGTCTTAGGTAGTAGAGGATAAAAAAAGCGAAACCCACAGGCAACAACATATATGGAAACAAGTTGTTATTTCCGTATATAAGAACACAGCACAAATGTGACAAATAACAAACAAATAACGCGTTCCTGCAGCTGATACTTTTTGAGAATATTTTCGTATGGTAAGCGCCATTCTCTTCATTTCTATTTTCTATTCAATTACCTGCTGCTTATGAAGGAAAGCAGGAATTTGACAAATAAACGCGCGCCATTTACTGTCCGCAAGCACGTTATGGTTTTTTAGAACATTGACTATCACGCTGACATCTATATCGAAGTGGAAGAAAGCTGTGGTTGCTTATTTTGCCGCTAGAGTGTTCAACATCGTTCAGCATTCATCGGGGTTTTTGTTTTTTGCTGCTTACGAGCCGCGACAAATGGCCACAAATCCTTGCATTTGGGTCCGGTCATCCCATGGAGCTCGATCGCCTATGTTTTAGCAATGGGCTCTGAAAGCTTGAAGAACTGGGCACGGTGCGCGCAGTGGGCAGTGGGCACCGGCGCAAGATTCATACAGCACCAGCAGAGCCAAGGGCGGAGCGAAGGTGCGTACCGTTTTAGTTGGCATAGGTATAGTTGTTATAGGTTATAGCGAAGACTGGGTAAAACTAAACGGTCTTTGGTTTCAGACTTCTCGTCGAGAACTCTGGACCGACCTTCATAGTGGAATGGGACCTCGTGGTGCCGAGGCGAAACCTTGCACCGTCGCAAGTGGCACTAGCAAGCACGCCTCAACCTATTATCTAGAAGATACGAACTTTACTAAATCATGAAGATACTACCGTATGGATGCATAGCATATTGCATGGTAAGTACAAATGTCTGTCTAATATTAATGGGGGGAAACCCACAGCGCTGTGAAAATAATTCCCATTGACCTACCTAATGAAGCGCTAAGCGAAAAAATGCGAATCGCTGGCACATGTTTCCCATTTCCGAACGACATTTGACCCGACATTTTGATTAGTGAATTGTGTTGAGCAATTCGATACCAGGAGACACTTTTTTTAGAAACCAGCTTCCCGATCTTTCAAAAGTTGTGCCGGCATTTTTGCGGGTCATGCTGAGGAAATTAAGTCAATGCTCGGAGTCGTTTCCAATCAGTGGAGGATCCAGGATTTCGTCAAGGGGGGGGGGGTGCATACGCTATTATGGTGCCCCTGGCATTTGGTGTCCCTCCCCTTAAAAAAATCCACGGATTTCGGCCACTTTCTTTTCGGGATGGTGCCCCCTCAGACCCGGGGAGAGTGCTCCTTCAGACCTTAGATTTTGGAATGGTGCCCCTGGAAACTTGGAATGGTGCCCCCGGAGACAGACTTCGGGATGGTATCTGCCCTCAGACCTCGGGATGGTGCCCCCGGACCCTCGAGATGGTGCCCCCTCCGACCTTGGAATGGTGCCCCCCGGAGAACTCGAGGTGGTGCCCCCGCGGACCTCGGGATGGAAATAGCCCCACCCGAGGAGAGGGACAGAAATGGGCCTCCGGGAGACCCCGAAAACGGTACCCTATTCCGATAGACCTGGATGGTGCCCCCTTAGGAGACCTCTGGGTTGAAGCTCCCGTCGGTGACCGCCGTGATGAATTAAAAAAAAAAGACTCCGTGATGGTGCCCCCGGGAGGCCCAGGGGGGGGGGGCATGGCCCCCATGCCCCCCCTCTAGATCCGCCACTGGTTCCTATTCTGTACTGTGATCACATTACTAAAATCGACAACATTTGATCAGTTGCATCTCACTTCCCTCTCTCGAAGGTCACCGGCCTGCTGCGTCCGCCCGGGGCTTCTCAGCAGCGTGTTGACACTGTCAAAGCGCCCAATCCCGGGGCCGGTGAGACGCCGCCGGGGGGCGTGTTTACCTTTCATCGAGAGGCTGTTTGCGCCGCGGGACTTGTCGCCTACGACGTGCAACACCCATTAACCGGAGAGTTTCGCCGAGCGCCTGGTGAGCCGCCGCGGACACAGCTGCAGAGCATGGGCATAGCATAGCTGCCGAAGGTGACACATTCGCGCGTTGCTGTATAAAGACCACCACAGTGGAAAACTGTGTCTTTCTTCTTTCGGGATTGAAATGTTTTATCTTGCGTCTCTCCAGGAGCTCTCCAACTCCCTCCCCGTGCCGCAGGGAGCCGAGAAGGGTGGGGTAGGGGCGACGACGGACCACCTTCCGAGCAGATGATCCTTTCTGGCCACTGATGACGGAACCCCTGCCAGCCACAGTCCACTGTCCTCCGCCAGCGGCGGCCGTTCATTTTCATACCGGCCACATAACACTCCATCGGGGCGGCGCGGTAACTCATCCGGCTCGCGCCGGTGACAGCGGCGGCCCATATCAGCGCCAAATCGATCAGTAATGCGTCGGAGGGCGGCGGGAGGGCCGCGCTGCACCGGTCGCCGTGCTCGACGGTCGACCGTTTACGGCCATGGAGACGGGTTTACGTGCGCGGCCGACCGGCCGGCTGTGAAATGAGGCGAACTTTACGACCGGAGAATACGCCGTCTGTCGGCCTGGTGACGGCCGCCGGTGGTCGTCTCAATCCGTCGTATCAATCATGCCTCTCGCATGTGCCACTGTGGACGGCTTCTGACGGCCCGGTGACGGCGGCGGTCAGAGGTTTGGCCTCCTCCCCGCGGCCGTGGCGCCGTCGGGTGCCGGGGACGCTGACTGACCTCTGACCGCGCCGCCGTGCCGCGGAGGGCCACCTCGTTGGGCGCGGCGCTAAGTGCGCCGAGCGGCGGCCTCTCCGTCGCCGGCGACCCGCTCCATTCGGAGCTCGATTGCGTGCTCTATCATAGCTATCTGGATGTGGGAATGGTTCCTTCTTTTGTGCTCGGTAATAGACGGAGATGGATGCCGGTCGTAAGGCTCGGCTGGCCGACCCGGGCGGAGCGGGCGCCCCTAAATGGCGCCATAGCCGACCCACTCGCCGCCAGAAGAGCACACAGACACGCGCGATTCTCCCATCCGGCGCTGTGCGTGAGAGAAGTCTGTGGAGATGGCTGCAACAGAAACAGCCTCTCTCTTCCGCATGCGAATATTTCGTTAGAGGAATTATCGTGTGAATTTAGCCAGACGATGAAGCGAATCATCGGGCTTCAGGCTGAGGAACGACCATTGGTAAGCGTAAAGGATCTTTTAGCTCGGTCTTCTACCTCTATTATGCAGACAAAGCTTTGCCGTCCACAACCACGTTTCCACTGGATTCCATCATAACCTCAACTTCCAATGTGTGAGTGTCTGTTGTTTTGACGAGAGACACCAAGCATTATCGTGTCACGCACCGCGCGGCAGAAGTCTGCTTATGGTTTCGACGCTAGATGTCACTAGTAGTGGAACGCCTGAAGGTATGCTGTTCCGCACGACTCGCCGTCAGCGGTACAGGTGAGGCGGCGTTGAGGATGACATTTCGAGTGGTGGCATGAAGTATGTACCGTATTCATAGCAGATATTATCACATTTAAAACATGATTTTTGCATGCATGTTGATGACAAAAGGGTACGAATCACTCACCATCGACCAGCCACCTCGCTGTCGTTCGTCTTTCGATGTCAATCTGCTGCGCTGGCCGCTGCTCCCAGGCCGGCTGGGTATAAACTCGACAAAACACAAAGGAAATTTTCACAGATTATCAACGAAGCAGTAAGCACCACTTGCCAACTCAGTGATGATGCTTAGAAAAAAAAAAGATGATAAAAGGGCTTCTAGTACCTATCTACCTATGTTTACCACCAATGTTTCGATGTCAATATTAAAGAAGCAATCTTCACAAGTTTCCGAATACTTCTGCATAACTTTTTGAAATCCACTTTGTAAGTTCCTCCCTGAGCCCGTCATTTTGCTCGGCGGCAGACGGGTCTTGCACCGAGTCTGTCCAACTCGGAAGCCGTTGCGGTAATCCATCGGCGGGGGGCGTGGCGGCGGCGCGCGATTAATGTTCATACATGCACGGCGCTCCGCGTCTGATCGATGACGGGTTCAGTGTGAGCTCTCCCGGAGCGATTCAATAATGCATCGGCACCCTGATCTCCGCATCGCCAGGGCTTGCGGTGGCCGCCGCATGATTTATGGTGTGAACAGCGAGCGCTGGTCTACCCGCCAGGTTTGTTCCCTCTGCGCAGCTATTGTCGGCTTTAGAAAGGGGGTGACGTTATCTCAGTTACCCCTTTCGATTCATCACTTTTGCTTTATCCGCGACTTGTTTGGATGCTGAGAAATTATCCGCTTGTGTTATTTAAGTAACTTAATGTTTCCCGTTATGCTTGCTGTTGCCAGCATTTCGCATTAACTTTTTTAAGCATTCACAGGTTTTCGTGACAAAGAAGGCGATTAAATGTGTGAACTTTGGTTACACTGCATGCGGTGCCGATTTCCTCTATTGTGAAATCCCTCGTAATGGTAGTTCCGTGCGAGAGTTAATTTAATTTAATTGTCCTTTCCAAACCCTTGCACCCTTCAAACTCAATTCTACATTTTTCAATCTCCGCTGCATGCACCAAATTAGTGTCGTTTATATCAATCTACCCCACACATCCTCGCCATTCCCTGACTCACGCGCCACTTTGGTAGCATGTGCACCACAATAAGCGCAAACTGCGTCAATCCCCCAGTCATAACTGGGGTGAAAAGACCGTCGACTGCCCGTGCCGCTTCGACTGAAATTTCGCCCCATTAATTGTCGGCCGCGGGCCATTTGCCGCGTGCAGAGCGGGGCCCGGTCCTCTAATCGGCTGACGGCACGCAGACAACATAAAGGCGGGCGCCGCCAGTAGCGAAAATCGACGACAGATGCTTTATCTTGCACCCGGTGCCGTGGCTCGTAGTGCTTAATAGAGCTGTAGTGGCATTTCAGGTCGACCGTTTATGATATGCCCCATTTATTTTGCCGTTCAGTTTCGGTCATTTGTTTAAATAACGATTTTATGTCACCGTGTCTTTTGTCCGTGTTGGCGTCAGAGTGCAAATGGTCGGTAGAATCCGATGAACCTCTGGCACGGGACATAATCTATTCCGATGAGGTCGACCGCCTTCTTCGTCAAATGCACAATGCTCATTGCACATTCATCAACAATATTGTGCTCCGTGGAATTCAGGCCAGTGTTTCTGGGAAACGTCCTGGTGCCCGCCATAATGTCGATGAACTCAGTGGATTCGTCACGCCGACCGGCACGCTCGCCTTCGGCTGCGTACTGCCAGACCTCGCTCGACCCGATATGGCACGGCTGGTGGCGGCGGCGCTTCGAGGGGACCGACCCGGCGACCCCATTCAATTCAGTCCGCCTGTGCAGACCGTCACTGCCAGCTGTCCCGCTCCCAGCAGTGCCGAGCACCGCATTGAGACGGGGCGGCACGAGGCCGGCCGCCTCACTGCCCGGTCTCCGAGGGTTGTCACAGCTCCCCGCCCGGCTCTGAGGGTCCTGTCTCGGACGGACGACGTCGAACGGACCCTCCCGGTGACTCAGCTTCCTTCCGCTCCTTTCTGACACGTCACCGTTGAGCTCCTCGCCGTCCGCCCAGCCCCTCTCCGTCGCCGTCGTCGTCGCCGCCGCCGCCGTCGTCGTTGGCGGCGGAGGGGCGCAGTCATGTGTACTCTGTCGACGGGCGTGCCGCGGCGGCGCCGCTGACAGCTGACACCCGTCATCCGTCACCAGCCGCGGATCTCGCGGTCGTGTCATCCGTCAGGGCACACAGTGGACGAGGCGAGCCTGCCATCCCGCCGCCATCGGTGCATTATGGTCGAGCAGCCCACTTACGGGCCCTCATCGGTCATGTCCGGAAGACATATGATGGGCGGGAGGCGACAGACATCTCCTTTCCCAGCTTCACTTAACCGGCTTTGTCGTGTCGGGCTGCGTCTCGATAACTTGAAAACATGGCAGCGATCGCGCTCTCAGGCAGGCGTGATAAATGACGTGACATCGATTCTCAGAGGAACCCCATACTCGCGGCAGCTAAAATGATGCCGACGTTTTGGTAGATTTCCCGATAAACCCGGCTCCTGTTAGACACGTCGCCAGCTTGCTCTCACCCTCTTACCTTTCATGTTCGTCGGTTCGTGGGACAGGGGGAGCTGAGAGTGGCCTCATACATGGCGTGTGTAGTGTGGCTGGGGAGCCGGTGCCCCTCTCGTGCGCACAAAGACGCGCCCTAGACTCCTGATGGGCTGATAGGAACGTGTCACAGCCCGAATGAGCAGCGCGGAGGCTCGTAGACGAGATGTCAAGTCACTCGAGCACTTGACTACTTCGATTGTCAGTCTCGGCGCGACACCTTCCGTGATGGTTAGGCTGTTTTGAGTCTCGTGCTCTTTTGCTCATTCCTGCTCTACCAATTTTGCTTAGTTCATAGCTCCATGCTTTGTTTGCTCAATTGAATTTTCTGTCTGTTGATTTTTTTTCTATTCCAGCTCTTTCTTTACTGCTTAACTAGTCCTCTTTCATGCTACTTGGTGCTATTGTTTAGCTCGCTGTTTCTTTTTCTATTTTTCGGTACCCTCTTTCCACTCTATTCAGTTTATGTCACATTTTTATCCAGTATTCTCCCATCTTTCGGACTCACCCTCGCTGTAATTCCGATTTCGCTGCTCCCCCACCAGTTTCTGTCCCTTTTCGCCCGCTCCCGCCCTGTTTCTGTTCCACCCTCAGCCGGCCGGTAGGGTGTGAATCGGCCGCCCAGCGCTCCCCACCGCCGCCGTCGGGTCGAATAAATCCCTCGGGCGACGGTAGTTTCCAATATTGGCGGTGTTACTTCGGGCGGCGGTCAGTTTTCAATAAGGTGGCTGGCGGGCGTGGACCGCGCGGGGCCAGGCCGGTTTGAGTCGGGGCAGGAGCGGTCGATCTAACCGTGAACGTGTCGGAGGTAGCAGCGTTCCACGTTAGTACGGCGAACAAAGGTATTGTGCAGCTGACTTGTGCTCAGCTGGGGCGCTGCAGAATGTGAGCACTTCGAATTAGAATGGAAATGTTATACATCTGTGTCTGGCTAGTGCACTTATCACCACCCGTTGACTTTCTCATGCATGTCTAATCTATTCGAGCATCATTGT